GAACCAGATCACAGCGGAAGAAGAAGTCAGGAAGAAACGCTGGAAGTGGATAGGACACACATTGAGAAAAGCAACCAACTGCGTCACAAGACAAGCCTTCACATGGAATCCTCAAGGCCGAAGGAGAAGAGGAAGACCAAAGAGCACATTACGCCGGGTAATGGAGATAGACATGAGAAAAATGAACAGGAGTTGGATGGAACTAGAAAAGAAGGCCCAGGACAGAGTGGGTTGAAGAATGCTGGTCGGTGGCCTATGCTCCACTGGGAGTAATAGGTGTAAGTAAGTAGGTAAGTAATCATAAGTGTAATTATGTGGCTATCAGTCCAAATGCCTTGATATCACGTGTACTATGTTATGACAATGATCTTTTAAGAAGCTCAAACCTTAGACTTTATTTTGCCTGGCCCTTACTACCAAGAACTGACAGTCCTTGAGAGATTTGAACACGAACTATCTAATATCAAAATTAAAAACTTTATCTATTACATCATGTACCCAGGAAGGCAATGTTAACAACTAAACAACTTGATTATGATTACAACCAACATACAAAAAAAAATGAATAACTTTCATTTTAGTCTTATTTTTTCAATTTTATTTCTTTTCTTAAATAATCATTATTACTAACTAACTAACTAACCAATTGATTAAATATATGATTCCATTATATGGATCAATAATTACTGTAACACATAAAACCCAGAAATCTGTTTCAACTTTCATAATTTTATTGTGTTTAAATAAATAATTAGAATTATTAACTTCATTACATTGAATTATTCATGCAACAACTTCAATGGCCAATATAAATTCCTTATTACACTTAGATACAATATTTATAACTCTTATACATATGTATTTATTCTAGATGTATATGTCAATAAACATGTTGTTGTAGGTGTACTAGTCAAACAAACTCTTTTAATTTGCTATTATATATCATAACAGGCCAAATTAGGTCAGTGGTTTAAACCAGCGCTTATTATATTATTGTTATTAAGACTTTTTACAAGCTTTGAACACCAGCATGTTCAACATTCATTAAATTCATTCATAAGCCGAAATGATATAGATTGGTTTCAAGTTATGCAATAGATTTTCATTGAAATTTCTGTTATATAAAAGATTATTATTTATTTTCAAGTGTTCGAATCCGAACATTGTTGATGTTAATGATTCAACTTTGATTAATCACTTCTGGTATATGTAATATCAAATATCTGCAATTAATAGTTTAGAGGTTTTGTAGAGATTATTAAATTTTCATTGATAAGATTACGAATTTAGTAAGTAACGCATTGATATTTGAAGCCGTCAAATGCCCTGGTATGGCCGACGGCGGGGAAAATCCACTCTCCTTCTCGAAATGCTCTCACATGGCCACGTGTATACAACTACTACCAGGGAAGTTCTACTCTCTGCCTTCTTGTGGTTGAAGTGTTGTTTACGAAATCGAGCGAACGAAAAGTGTATGTCTGGTGCTTTAACCAGGTTGGTGAACACGGACAGTTCACCTAGGGAAGTTGAAAACCCTGGTTCCAAATCAGTGGTGCACATGGGTTCCAGTATTCTGAGGAAATGAATAGTGTATGAACCAACTGTTGGTCACCGGCTACCATGGGACTGCATCTCCTGACGTCACTCCACTGTCTTGTGGATCAGACCTTTAGGTCGAAGGTTCCGGATGTGACTCCCTGAGAAAATCACCTGTTTCAGTATAGGTACCCAGGCAGTATCACAGTCCACACACAAATCACGTGAGTAGTATGGTACATATGTATTCGGTACCCTTTTGTACCAATATTTATGTGTTCAAATAAAATAAAAATAAATAATATCTCTACTAGATTAGTAAATGTACACTATTGCCAAGTCCCAATACTAAACCAAAACAACTATCCTAGCACTTTTTTTAATGCTTGTCTGGTTAAAAATAATCCACGATATATACTACTTATAATAATGATTAAAAATTTTTCTTACTAGATTAACATTTGTTAAATGATTGGTGATTCATGATTATATTCTACTAAGTTTAGTGAACAGATTTACCATTGAAATTTAAACGTTATACAAGTGTTTAAATTAACAACAACAACCATAAAAGAAACCTTTGAACATGATCAATATCACATAGTGTAGCGTATATCATGATGGTCAATAAATTTGTTTGAATATTGGTGAAATAAATGTTGTATTGTTTTCCCTAAAATGAATGATAAATGTTTTTCGCTTTTTCATTTTATTTTTGTAGAAAATTCTTTCAAAGGTTATTCATTGCTTAAATGATTTTTCAATGGGAATGATTTAAGTATTAAAGATTTATATATGGTAGAATTAGTGATAGTTAGGTAATTTACACTTCTAGATTCATTATGTATATTGGTTCTTCTTCGAAATCGCTAAATTTGCTTAATATGCATTTTCCAAGTTCAATAGGAAACCCTAGACCTAGGTTTCGAGCCATTTGGCACTCGTCAGCAGGGTTTACCTGTAATCTTGAGGGAACTGATGCTCCCTGACGGACTCGACCTCGTATCACCCAGCTTTACATCCAGTTATGTTACGGCTGAGCTATCCGGGTCGCGAGTGACATCCTGTAGAACTGAGATGTATTTACAATTGATTGATCACTGAGTGGTGATCAATGTCATGTATTTCAGGTCGTTCTGACTGTGAAGCTGGGTGGCGCGGGATCGAATTTCCTTAAAATTACAGGTAAACCTTGCTGACGAGTGATAAGTAGTACGAAACCTAGGTCCAGGGTTTCCTGATGACTACCACCAACCACCATCTTATCTCAATATAGTGCACGCAATGTCGAGTCACCTAGAATGGTGGCCACATTGCAACTTGGTCGATAGGATTCAGTCCGCGCTAAGAAGGACCTGACATTGATCACCACCCAGTGATAAAACAATCGTAAATTTTCCAAACTCACCCAACAACACTGATAACTGATTGTTATGACCTTGAAGCGCACTTACCCCGTCGATACTTGTTATGACTTGACCTTGATCTGTTTAGTCTAGAGTATGACCTTGGCGCAATAGGCTGAGCGGTTTAACCTTGAGGCTAGTACGCGTGAGTTCGAGATGGGGTAGAGAGAGAACTATTCTAGAACCTGATTGGCTGGCAAGCACGCAAGTGAGGAAAGACAAGACACTCGAAAAAAAACCCAAAATGGCCGTGCAGTAAATGTTTACCAGACAGTTGGAACACTCTGAATTCTGACTAGTGCAGAAACGTACATAAATAAAATAAGTGAATATCTTGATCACAACGTGCGATAATTTGGAAAAATACAATTATGTCCAAAACTGGGAATTAGGGTAGAAAATAAGGTGCAAAATATTATGTTTAAATTACAATAGTTTCGGAACAAAAAGGGGTATGGCAATGAATGATAAATCGAACGAAAGCTCATGTTCTGTAGAATAATATAGGGACAAAAATAGATGTGTTTTACAAGGTTTGAATAAAATGAAATAACGTCCCAAGAAATAGCTTTCGTAGTTTGTCTGGACTTCTTATTTCCCTGTTCACAACACTGATACATGTCAATTCTATTGATAATTTTTCAGAAAGTTTGTAAACAAAAGAATTCACTTGTGTTTAGAATTTTTTGAGTTGGAAATACAAAATAACATCAAGACATTAATACAAGATCGGGTTTATACAGTGGTACAGATATATTGAGTTTAAGGTTTATTCTATTATTTAAAGGATATGCTTTTTTTATTTCAATTGTTTTTCAAGGCATAAGGAACGTGTGAATATCTTATAGCCTGAGGTTTGTACATTTCTATGGTTATGAAAACCTTCGTTCATAATTATATCATTCAACGTAGTTTTCAGGTATTTGCAGCTGGTGAGAGGCCTTGAAGTAGAGTGAATTCATTTTATCCCGCAAATCTCGTTATTCTTAACGTTCGTTCTAGTTTTCATAGTAATAGCATGATTTCAAACTGACCTCGTTTTGTGTTTTCAGAAACTTATGAGTGATTTTGTCACCGAGTTATTTTGCGTTCTGTGATACCCATTACCATCCTAGTATGATAGTAAAACAACTGAAAAATGACTAGAAATCTGTAATTGGTGAACTAAATAAAGTGTACACAAATTGTATGCCTCTGTCCTTGACTCAGACAAGAACATACTAACTGAAACCTTGAGCAGTTATATAATCAGTGTCTCTCAAAAATGTGTCTCGATTACGTTTCCAAACCTACCATTTAACCTTGACATGGCATATTGACGTAGTTAGTAATTTATTTAGAACTGCCCAGTTTATACAGTTAGGACCTTTGAATAACTCTCATATCTACTATTTCTGTTGAATACGCTTTGAGTACTGAATAGATCTGACCTTCCTCTAGAAGAAAACCTATGACCAGAAGATTCATCAATATAAAAGATCAAGAAGCGGTTGATGAACAAATACGCAATGTGCACTAATGATATGACTAACAATGCATGAAAAAAAAGTTATCGCGTATCAACTGATATGTCATGTCTAATTCTTAGTGTTGATCGAATGCTATAGATGAAGTCTATGTATTATCGTCACAAAGTCTCAAGAGGCTTGAGATTGTGGTGCAATTTATTAGATGGAATAACATACATTTACCGGGTACAGATTCATGTATTTGGCTTCAATTCAAATCCTAAGTATGAGAACCAATGATACTATTTGATCGCCTAAGCCGATGTAGGTAGAGCAGGGTTCAAACATGAGAATAAGTAGTTGTAAATTGAACGCCTTAACCGTTGATACATTGCTCTGTTAGTACTGACAGAAAATAACTGATATTTATTAACAACATAAGAAAGACTGATATTGCAGAGAAGCATCAACACCTTTATACTTTTGGACAGTTTTTATATGCATTTTTTAAATGAGAAGTTGAAGAGAAAACACATTAACTGTCAGCTATATATTTCTTGAGTATATTTCATGTTATATATATATATATATATATATATATATATATATATATATATATAAAAGATATTTTCCTGAATTACTCAAAACCACAATTAAGTCAATCGGGAGAAAAAGGCAGAGGGAATCAGAAATGAAGTATAACAAGAACAAACTCAAAAAAGAGGAATAAAACAACTAGTTAATCTTTCTATTGTCATAAACATAAAAAAAGGTTAGTAAATGTGAATAAACATGTGAAAGAAAAGATACAGAGAAGACATAGGATAAATACAAATGTTTCTTTCATTTTGTATACAATTCTAATAATAAGTAAGAACAAGGAATGGCAATGAAGTCAAACAGAATGAGAAAAGGAGAGATAAGTACAAAAAAGGCTTAAACGTATACACACACCAAACAAAGCCATGTATACATTTGACTACAAAAGTCCATCGAAAAGAAAGAAAAAAACAACAATTCAAGTATCATAAATAGTGAAGGTGAATTAATCACAGACCTGCTATTACTGCACATTTACTGATGTGACTTGAATAATGAAAATAGGATTAGCAATCACAGAAAAGTTCAACTCAAACTAAAAAAAACGAGTTAACATCTAATAACACCATTCCTATCGTTGATACTGCCACCACCATTATGACTTCTCTTTTCTGGTAGATACAACAAGCTAGTGATGAGAAAAACAAGATAAATAAAGTAATTTTATAAACTAAGGAAAAAAAGAGAAACGAAGATTTAGCTAAACACACTAATCAAACATAGAAGTGTGTCAATAAGTAAATACTATGCAGTAATCTCACTGTTAACTTATTATTTTCAAGACAAACTACTAACAATTTTGTGAGTACTATGCAAAATAAATGATAAAAAATTGTGTGGGGGGTAGGTCGTTAATTTGGTGATTCGGTAAAATGTGAGAATTAACGCCTATCAAGAAAGAAGAGACAAATAATTACAGGTAAAAGATAATGGAACAAATTAACAAACATTTTTTTCCTGTTCAACATAATGAATCATTCATAATTCAGATAATTGTACATCACCTACATTTGGTTACTCTACATGAATATATGTGTATAAATTAGTGATGATTGTGATAATAATAATAATACTAACAATAACAATAATAATAATAATGAATAAGAGGAATGTATAATTTGAAATTATAATTTGTGTAATCTACAATAACAATTATAATAATCATAATAACAGAAAATCAACAGGATATATTATCTCTCTATTTTTAATTCGCAGTTTTATACTGATTACAAGGAATGCAGAAGTATTGTGTGTTTGTATGTATGCGTGTGTGCGAATGTATCAGATTCTCTGATTTATCAATTTGCTTTTCCTTTCAAAAGTAGTTTTCTGGCATTAAATGTAATGCTTGATTGTTATAATTATTAATAACAACAATAACAAACCATAATATGATAACACAATGATAGTGATAAACAACAAAAGAGCCAGAAATGAAAGAAGAAGCATGAACAAATAAATGAAATAGATAAACAGATAAATAGACAAATATTTGTTTATTCCTTATAATTAGAAAAATTCATAATGCAACACGTCGTCTAATACCAATATTTGTAACCAAATGCAAAACACGAGATTCTGGCCAATCAATCCATACTTCTAAACGATCTGGAAGTGGATGTTGATTTTTATTCATGTCATTATTATTAACAAATTCATTATGCGATAATGCTGAAGTAGAAGATAATTTTGGTGTAGAAGACGGAGGAGGAATCAATGGTGGGACAGGATGAATAGATAATGGTTTAACTTGTTGTCCACCCATACCAAAAAATCCAGTCGTATGTAGCTATTAAAAAAATACAGCAGATAAACAATTATTCATGAATGAGAAAGGTATTCGCTGGCTAATATAAAGGATGAGTTTACTCCCCAATAATTCCCTTCGTTCTACTTTAAAAATTATGTTCTTTAAAGATAGAGGATATTCGGAGGTTACTTGTATTCGATCACAGGGACCACTGATCAAGAAATTCCTGGGTTAGGAATAGGGTACTAAGAAAGAATGGCGAATCAATTGATGAGGCAGTGAATTTCTATAAAATGAGATGATTAGGACATGTATTACGTACGTCCATTAACCGACACCCTCGACGCGCAATTATCGCTGGTGTACAAGTAGGTTGGAAGAAAGTCAGGGGCAGACAAACCAAGACATGGAATCATTCCACAAAAACACCAGCTATTGAACTGAGCCATTTAATTAAGTAAATACTGCCTGATGGTCGTTCACGTGATTATCGTAATCACTGGTTAGAGACTTCTGGGTGACATGGCTCAAAATTATTCTCAATGGCACAAGTGTATTTAGTCTTTTTCTTTCCTTAAATTCTACGTTTCTAAATTCCTCATATATTTTTTTGTTTTTCACTTGTTTATAGTTTCAAGGATCGTATCCTCGATGTTTAATTTTTCTATCAAAACTAATATTGTCATTGCCTCTACTGTTCTGAAATTCACCCAGACAATTTTCTCTCGCTGTGCTAATAAAGTATGGCAAATTGAACCGATGTGCATATATGACGGGTCTTATGTTGTGTTTGATAGACTGAATTATTATTATACACTTGAGAACTATGATATTCTCTTGTACAACTCTTACTGTTAGCTTTGATTTCCCTCAATGTTGGAGAGTTCAACAATATCACTCGAAGTCAGTGGAAGGTCAGAAAACGTCAGCAAATGTTTTAATCACTCAATATATAGTGAACACTTATTAAAAACACAGAAAAACCAAGAATCCCACGTTATAATTCAATTCAATGGTTAAATATACTGTTACTATGTTTAGTGTCCTATAACATCAAGGTCTTATGAAACTAGAAATTTGCCCGATTTTTGTACATAACCTAACCCAACCTTGGACTAAGACTCATATTTACACTCCACTCCTTTTTCTCAACTGTTCGGATTGAGATGTAAAAGTAATCAGTGATTATAGGAAGGATCAAGGGAGCTAGTAATAAGTGTTCAAATCGTAGACTTATCACTCGTTAACTGATGTTATTTGTTTCACCATTTCTCAATTATTGTTAATTGTCCACTCATTATTTAGTTTTGTATCACTTATGTACAAACTGTTCTTTCTTATTTATAATGCACTGTGGTCGTATAATTGATGTATATAATCCGATTACTTCTTAGGCATAATGTACGCTATGACGAGTCAATTATCAGTTTTTACTTTAGATGGATGTAGAATCATACTTTGATAATTAATGCATCAGTACATACTCAAAAACACTAAAAATAGGAGAAAGAACACAAGTTTCACATTGACAACGATATTTTCGAACCATTGAGTTGGAAATCAATGGTAGACATCTTCAACTTAAACTAATTAACTATTAAGTATTTCCGGTATTCCAACTAATAATGAAACTCATTATAGAAATTATTTGAAGATTTCACTAGACTTTAGGCAGAAATGAGAAAAAAAACATTGAAAAGAAGCCAAAAACAATAGGACAAAAGCAAAAATTACCTGCCATATACGTAGTGTACTTTCAGCCAATGAATAAGTTGCTACTTGTCGGCCATCAGAATTAAAACAAATAGCAGTGACAGGACCTTTATGCCCCATTGTTACCTAAATGTTCAATAATAATAATAAAGTCTTCTCATTGCATTATCGAAATTTATCAAAGGGACTAATTGTTTTAAAAGTAATCTTAGTAATCTACATAAGTAGCAAATTTTTTGTTTCAAGAAAGAAAAAGCGTGTGGGGTTATCAATTGACCATTCAGTGTTCAATAATTGTATCGTATCCAAGATTTTCATAAATTTTTCTGCTTATTGAGTTGATGAGTAATGTATAAAAATGTAATTGTTACTGAAGATCTAAACTTTTGTTTATTATCCAACACATTGGGGATACGCTACACTGTTATGCTCACAGTAGACAGATATTCGGAATGAAACGACAATGAAAATTACACTCTTATAAACAACACTCATCCAGTACATGAGCAAAGAATTGCCCAAAAATGATTATAACAACAGACAATCAAAACTGAAAAACAGACAATTTTGTACGAAAAGCCACTATGTACAGCATACAAGGGATTAATTGTGATCCTGACATAAATGAGCGAATTTAAATTGCTAATATACGAATCAACAAAAGTATGATTCCTACCCTTATGTTTAACTTAATGTAAGAATATCACACAAGTTAAAGCCTCACCAATAACTATGATAAGTCAATACTTGGGAAAAATAGAACTCTTTATATACAATTTACAGTAATATAAAACTATAGTGGAAAAGAAACCAAATATTTTCTGCTGATTGGTTCAGAAACTATCCAATAAGGTAGTTCCGATCATCATGTAGCAAGAATGAACCGAAATGTCCTCCAGTACAAGAATGTTTTTTTTTTACCGTAAAATGTTCATTTTTACTATAGTCACTTTTATCAATTCTATAGAATCGTTTGTTAATCCCAACTCTATTCAAAATTTTCGCAGTGAATACTTTCAGTTGGAAGCTATAAACAAACTCTACATAGCTTGAATGTTAACTGATTTTTCTCATTATTACCTCTAATAAATAAATATTAAAAATTTGTATAAGTTGAAGTTAATAAAATATCTTTAAAAATAAATACTCATGAAATGAGATCACATGAATATCAGCACGACTGTATCAAAACTTACAAAGTATCGTCCAATTTTAAAATCATAAAATGTTAAAGAACCATTAACACCACCTGTACACGCTTTCTGTAAACGTGTATGACTTGAATAGGCGTGGAAACTAAGGCAAAAAAAGTTGGCAAGAAGTAGAGAGAGAGGGAGAGAAAACAAAACAATCACATGATAATGATAATCGTAATGTGGTGTATGTTACTTATGTCTGTTGACATAAGTATTATATAACACCAATCAGAAGTGGGATGCTTGGCAGCAGAAGATTGAGAAGCTCGAATTGAAGATAACAGCAAGCAAGATTAGTGATTCTTAGTAGGTTTTACTACCTTAATTTATTCGTATAGGCATTGACTTAACTTACATAAACCACTAAAGTACTGGATAACCGTTTCATCCTCGTCTAATAGTATTTAGCAGTGTGCATCCACGACTGAATGAATTTGTGGAACAAAAAGTATGAGATAGTATTGAAACCCAAGATCTAAGGACAAACAAACAATGTATGAATCTGAGCCAATTTAATCGACTACGAACCATATCATCCAACATCTGCAACCATTGATCAAGATAATTGCAGTTTAATAGGGGAAATCTCTGTTTTTATGCCGTAAAAACCCGTAAACAATAACTCAATATGAGGTTTAAATCATAACCCAGGACAATCAGCAGGCCAGCTTTAGATCATTCATCCACGATCTCATAATATTTCGCATTTTAAAGTTCATCCAACATCGGTGATGACTAAGATGATTGGAGGTAGCCAGTAGGAAACCCTTCTTGTAACGTTGAAGGAACAGAGGTTCTCTGGTAATGACTGTGATACCGTAACCAAAAATGAAGTTTAATCAAGTGATTAACGAGCTTATGTTTTTTTTACGAAATCAATCGGTATCATACCTCATCTCTGTACGACTAACGGAACCCTGATATAGTGCAAAATAAATTGCTAAATACGTTGTCAGTGACAAAATAAATCACCGATTCTATAAGCAGTAACTGAATATTGTATAATAATTTAAAAAAAAACATAAGTATTTTCCAAACGATTTAATAATTTAGCACTTACGGTGTTAGCGCAGGAAATATATAATCTAGTCCACGTTCTTTTAAACGTGTACGATCAGAACAAGCTAAGATCACTTCAACAACTTCCGGTAATACATCTTTAATATCATTTGGTCGTCTAATACAAAGTTGTTCAAATAAACGTAATACTTCTTCACGAGCTTTAAACATTGGTGGATATAGTTGATTATGCAGCACCGAAGATTCTGTACCTAAATTACGAGAAAACATTGCAATAAATACATGTCAATTGTTTAAAATTTGGAAGCTTGTAAATTACAATCAGTACAGTGAGCTATTTACTAGGTGCAAATTCGTGTACTTGGTTTTGAGTTACACACTAATTATGAGGAGTCAGTGATACTATCCGATAGCTTGAACCGGAGTAATTGGAGAGGGAATTGAACCCAAAACTTTGTGGTTGAAAGTCGGATCCCTTTACTGGTGAGCTATAATTTCGCTAACAAATTATTGGGGTTTATTTGAATTGAATTATAATACAGGGAATTTATGAAAATTGTAAAATTTTCATTTTAAATCACGAACTGATATTAACTAGATCATCAATGAAAACCCGAAAGCACTGAATGACCATTAAGTTACTCCACAGTGGCTTTAAATGATTGAAATTAAATCTCCAGTAAAAATCACGCTCTTATATCCGGTATTCACCCAGTAAAATAAACGGAAAACGCTGGATAATGCATTTTGTTGATCATTGAAAAAAAAGATTATTCTTCTGTGCATAAACACTTCAATCGATGAAATTAATTTGTCGCAGAAAAACTAACTGAAGTTGAAAAACGTGAACTGATAAATAATGATTGAAAGTTTATTTATTGACTATTATTATTAATCGATTTATTCAATATTATATATTTGGTGCAATATGGAATCTTCAACACAAAGTATTTCAACAAGTTTCCCTTTCCTTTTGCTTGATTAATCCTAATGATAAATATTGAAATCTTGCCGTGATACTGAGCAATCGTCATGTAAATCATTTAACCAGGACTGTTCAATAGTGATTAGACTACAATTACAATACATGTTTAGACTTGGTACGAATTGATGACAGTCCACTTTGCCAGTTATTGATCGTCAGTTAGATGTTAGTAGTTCAGCAATCGACATCTGATAATTGTACAGTAAAAGGTTGTAAACTTTCTATATATACGCTCCTGAATAGGTTGTACGATTAATAGACAAATGATGTGTTAAGACAAACAAAAACGGATAGCTTGTTGAAATATCTAGTTGAGAGGAACAAGTAGCCCAAATATTCAAGCAGTCAGTTTTTATAATGTCCATTTATATTTTAATTGAATTAGTTATTATTTATTTCAATATTTTGATAATTATTTTCATTAGTTATCATAAGTTATCATTATTTAGATGAAATTATTAATAACTGAAAAACGAAAGAAATAAAACACTTCAAATAAAGAGTGATATTTTTCCATGTTCGATTTCATCTTTTTAACAGCTAGGCGATGGGTTAAGTGATTAGTATAGATAGTGTTGAAGAATAATTGCTAAGGTTCATTAATTGCGATTACCCTAGCACTGATCTTTTAAAGCTAAATGATAAAGTAACGTGAGTTTGACACTAGAACTAAAAGTTTTTAGTTTGACACCTGATAGGGGGTAGGTTGTGCGTATACATTCATGGGAAATTCTACGAAATTTGATAAAACAGCTATTTAATGTGTTTTTTTGTATCCTTCGTCCTATTTAGGACTCATCAACTGGATGTAACTAGATTTACTGCCAGCCACTTTTCATCTATTTTATAAAAATATCAATTCTCCATATTAATTTAAATCTAATACAGTCGACCAATCAGTCAGTCCAAAGCAATGAAGAACCTGATATATTTGTACATTGGTTCAAAGTGCCACAACCAACCGGTACATCGAGAAAACATTGTCAGGGAAAATCCCAAAGTAGCAATGAGGTTTAATCTAATGTGTATTTACAAGCTCTATTTTTATCTAGATTTTCCAGAAGATGATAAACCAACAAATCATTTTTCGAAGAGCTGTTCAACTACATGACAATCATACGGAATAGCAAAGAACTGGATAAGTGAGAGTCAAAAAAGCGAGCAGATTTACCTCCATATCCAGTGGCAGCAGATCTATTAGAATTTGTTCCAGTATTACTACCACTAACACCAGCATTAGAGCTGAAGACAGGTGTAGCTACAATTGGATTAGTCATCATAACTACCATGTTCGATGAAGTAGTTGAAGACTGAAATTCATTTCCAACAGTTATTGAATCACGACGTGACACAGTGACTAGATGATTATCAGAATCTTTTGAAAGTGATTTTGTTAAACTCCATGATGATTGAATATGGTTAGAATTCAACGGAGATGATGCTGGAATTGATGATCGACCAGAGTTAGATGTTAATGCTGAAGCAGCTGCATTAATTTGAGTGCCAAATCGTCGAACTTCAAGTGATAATACCAGAGTAATCAATTTCGGTCGTGCAAACCCTATAGCCCACAAAGCTTCACGTGCTGTACGTGCTAAATCAACACGATCTGAGATAAGTTGATAGGAATTATTACTTCATAATAAAAATAAAAAAGGCCAAATTTAAAACATAATTAATGTTTAATGGTAAATTTTGTATAAAAATTATATAAAATTAATACTATGAAAAGTGATGACCATTGTCAACTAGGATAGAAAGGGAATGTATTTGTAAGAGTAACTATTAAAAAATTTATATTGTGTACATTAGAACAAAATATATATAAGTGAACAATAGTGTTTGCAATAAGACCTTCGCCAAGCTATACTCAAATACACAGTTATATATAATCAGAGTGACCAAAGTAATTGGATCGTACACCATCACGTTTTCCCTAGTAGGTTTCAAACTCATTTCCGACTTATAGCACAACAAACAAACCTAGTCTCTGTAGATAAAACAATTTTGAAACATCTCTATTTCCTTTTACTTTAGATAAGACTTAGTTATTTGTTTGCTTATTTTGCTTCAAATTCTTATATACCTCATTTTTAGGACGTACACACGTAAACTGATTATTCGCACACTTCTTGTAGTGTACTCTGACGATGTTAATGGTGATTATCGCATTAATAAGTTTATTTTCTCAAGTTTTGATCCACTTTCAGAGTTGAAATATTTATCCATGTTATCATATTGTTTATTATTCGTATATTAACTGCTTTCTATACCGACCATCTTACTATCAATCCATACTTTATTACTTACTACAATTAGTTATGTAATTGGTTATCATTGTTACCATTATCATATAAATTATCTGTGAAAGTTTAATATTTTACACATATGTATATAAATATTGCTGTATATTAGGGTAGAGGCTGACGAAGATCTTGTTGAAAACAATTTTAGTTGCTTAGGTATTTACTATTCGAAAGAACAATAACTATCGATAAACAATGAATCTACTTGAAATCGACTTATATTATCAATGAAAGAAATATCTTTAAAACCAATCCGAACAGTGAATGGATGAGTTAATATAAAAGTGTATTTAATAAACACTCAAAGTGAAGCGTGCTATACTTCGGTAAGTTATTCAACATCGAGGTAATTACAAAACCGTTTAGGATGACAGGTTGTAGAGTAGCATATAAATCGTAAGTATATGCTTGTGGAGATTGTTAAGTTTCATTGGAGTTGTAAACTGATCACTGTTAAACCATCATTGAAAAACTAGAAGCACTAAAAACTGGTCCTTTATGGTCCAGAACTTCTTAACAGTGTGCATCCAAAACCCCGTAAATAGAAACTAAACACAGACTTTAACCTCTAAACCACTGTAAACTGTTATCCAACGGTGTTGTCTAACTGCAATCAATCCACGATATTAAGCGGCCAAATCAAATAAGTAGCTGCCTCATACTCAACAAGAAAGTGTATAGATCGTTTCTTGAGCTAAAATGCACATTGTGAAATAATGAGCTTGACATCTTAACTGAGTATTTGTGAGTATAAATAACTACATATATCATTAGAAAATACTTCCATGCTACTCACAAAATACCAGTAGGATCCAATTAAATAACACAAGATTCCATGTATCCATAAATTTACGAGACAACAAGTAGGTCAGAACAGCACTTCACAAAATAGTTACAAGTAACAATGTTTATCGTGGAAATATTTATTATTTCGAGAAATGCATGGAATAACTTACCTTGATAACAACATTTCAGCATCAGCAGCTAACAAGAGTAAAACATTGATCACATGCCCAACATCAACAAACGGTTCCCAGACAGGAAAACCACGACCTAATAAATCAATTGCAGCTCGTCTCAATGTACTATTCATATTAGATGTTAACAATGTAATCAAGGCATTGGCTGCATATACAGGTAATACTTCGGAATGACTGCCAACAATTTGCTCATGGAATTTGTTCCAATCAATTTCAGGATTATAAGTGTCAGTAGGCAATAAAACTGGATAGCCTGGAAGGTAGTATTACAAAGAAAAAGAGAAAATAAAGTGAATAGAAGAAATGTTAATAACGTGTTCAAAATTTCTAAACTAGCTTACAAGGTAAATATACGATAAATCAGTAAATGAATGCGAAACTTGTAGACAGTTTCTGGCCCACCCTAATATCAGCTAGAGAGTCATTGAAAATCAAGTAGAACGGGATAGTTGTTTAATCTAGAAGTATGAAGATTTAATTCTCTGGTTTATCACTCAATAGTCTAAAAGTTAATTGTACTCCGTAAAACTTATAAGCGGTCCTTGGTTTCATTCGGTATGAAATAGTAGTGAATGTGTACTGCGACTGAGTCCCAAAGTCGGATCAAAAAGAGCATTTCAGTTGTTCCTAATCATTATATTCCTATACAATGGCTGTTTGAATCTTCCCATTGATATTTACCTCGATATTGCCGTTAAGTCGCAAGCATTTTGGGCAGAGTTGAATGCTAGCTAACAGTGGAATCCAGGACTCGTATTTTTCTTATTTGGAACTCGTGAGCTGGATGTACCTACAACCCAATTCTGATGATTCAAACAACTGAGTGAACATCAACTCTAGTATGCAGGCACATACAGATGACGGGACGAAAAGCACGTCTTGACTTCATCTCTGCCTACACAACTATATTTCTAGTTTCAATGAACATTTACCCGAAGATCATATTGATTCATTGTAAACGAATGTGAAATGTGTTTATCAATTAATATAAGTGCATCTGGTGTGTTTACTGAGTATTTGAGCCGTGTATTTACAAAATTGGTTGATTATTGAGTACTAACTGTTTAGTTTAGATTACTGTTGGGATTATATAGACTAAATTGCAATATAGTTAATAGATTATGTGCATGTAATCGGTAAGAAGGTCTAGGAGTAAATTTTCTGTTATTTGACACTTTTCAGAGTAAGACATACCTGCAATCCAGAGGAAATCAACACTCCAGAGAAAGACTAGAATCCATATCATTGAATAATGTCGTAGTTAAAGGCTAGCAAGAAACCTAAGGTTGATAGTTCTTTCCCAATTGCTTCAAGTCACTTAATATAAAATCATAGATACTTTTTTCCCTTTTTCGAATTCTCATTTTGGGTAATTGAACTGTCTATTATTATGCATGATTTCTTCTTTTACACTAATTCGTAAACAACCCACCTACAGGTTAATTGCAAACATTTCATTCTGAATCACGTAGCAGATTGAGTCCGTATATAAGAAGAGCATATATCAAGAACAGAATCCGACAACCGTCCAAAATAACTCAAGTTACAAGTAGGCATAAGCTATTCTGACAGCTTTTAAAGTGGGTTCACGGTGGGAACCTCATTGAAACATTTGATTTTTGGATGAAAACATAGTTGATCAGCCAATGTTTAAATAGATAGGTATCTTGCGCGCAATAAGTGTTTATTCAGTCAAAGAAGTGTTTCAAATAATTAAAATCAAAATTTATTCACAACCGATCAAAATAATCATACAGCACATCACGAAAAGCTAAGCAAAGTTTGAATACATAAGGAAACTTGTTAGAAAGACTACAGGTTATCTATATTTTTCTAAATAAATGTTAGTTTCTTTCGGTTAATGATAAACCAAAGTACAATTCTACTAATTCGCTTTCCTTAAAGAACTTCCCGTTCTGTGACTGATTGCCATCACTTTTAGACTTTTAGTTTTTGTGTGCTAAGGTCATATTATGTTCTTATATACACCGAGTTATTATACCCCAATTTCGTCTTCATTTTATTTCAGGCTTTTTCTGCACTTTTGTCTTTATATTTCTATCCCACTGTTTGAGGATTATTACTGAGGCGTTCCGTGTGTGTCAGTGGTAACACTATCGAGTTTGCATCAGTTCCTGATCGTATTAAAAGAATCTCAGTCATTCGCCATTAGTAAATATAATTCATAATTATCAAACTTGTTTGGTTTCGAAATTATCAGTATGTAATCGTTTTCTCTTATTACGTCCTAGCTACTCTTATTTCGTAGTACCCTCGAACACCATTTCACGAGACGAATCCCCAAATCAGAACACGGTTGGACAGGAACGTAATTATGTTTCGAATAACAAGGTTGGATGGAGGTAGGAATCACAAGAAAAACATTAATATATTGCAGATTTTTGCATATGAAGATTTTAGAATTTTCTCTAGGTCTACGCTAGCGTTGATTGGTTAAGAAATAACCGATCAGTGTGCCACAACACAATCCTTCACGGACCATGTTTTAATCTGATTTATATCCAGCTAACACAGAAATCCCAACACCGTAAATATCAAGTATATCTGAGTGGAGAATTACACTGAAATACTTGTATGTGATCCAACCCAAGACACCAAAATCACTGTAAAGTTCCTAATTCAGAGTTAGAATTAAAAAAATATACACCATGTGAAAGGTCATACCAATCACTGATACGTAAATGTTACATTCTGCATGGAATCTGTTTCCTTTTAGATAAAAATTGGGTAAAGTATAATCTGGAGTGTCAACAAAACACGAATTCAAGTTGTCAGAACACATCAACACAGCGAGAGAAAACTGTGTGCGACGACGTGGGCAGTGGTTAAGCACCAAAATATGCGAATACTAAAGTAAGAAGTCCAATTTATAAAATTTTATTTTAAATAGAAAACAAAAAAACAAAGTTTATACACATACCTCCATTAAACAATAAAGCTGATAAACACTGATAAGTGGATCTAGCAAGATAATGATTATCCAATCCGAAACCATCTTGTATCTCAGATGATTGATTACTTGTGTATTGTGAGAATTTTTGCACAGATAATGGAACTCCTTCTGATCGATTTAACGGAACTTGCATTACCACTATTTTTGTCATTTCTAACTTTTCTTTATCATCGTCATCATCATTATCAGGTGCAACGAAACATGGCGATGCCAAACCGCAATTACAATAATTCATTACTTCGTATGTTCGATTCTTAGTCATAACTAATGGTTGAGTGATCAAGTCACGTACAACAACAGCTGGATGACGTCGTTTAGTGGATGAACCAAAACGTACACCAATTATACCCATTAGTATAATAGCTATAGCCTTGTGAATTACATTGAAGACAACCAAACAATAAGGTTTATGATTAGTTTAACCCATTGTTATATGAAAACAATTAAAAATTTAGAGGAAAAAATACATTAAATAATTGAGACAAACACTATTACTAAAGTATAATCATAGAACATAAAGTCATTTGTAAAACATACTGGTTGAAATACCTATAGATATGTAAATCAGTTACTACACAAGCAAACTAATTACAAAAATTTGTGTAAACTCAACGAAGAATTTGTAGCCCTTGTTCAAGAGGATGGACACCATTGTAAATCAATGGACAAAAGGAACAATGAACGAAATTTTACGGGGATATCAAGCTTTTGAAATATAAATTAAGAATACATGAACCGGTGAGTGTGTATTTGATCGAAATAGAATTTGATGAAGTATTGTACCTAGTAAAGAGATAACAGTTGCATTAATTCAAAAACAATCCTGGTTTTTCAGCTATACGGTAAATAATTAGAATACCAAAGACAAAAGTTCGATTCCGAATCTAATAATCACAGATATGCACTGTGAAGTAACTATAAAAATTAGACAGAAACAAGTTTTCAATTGTTGAAAACGATTCAGCCGGTTAACAATTCTGTGACAAGAAACATCGGAAAATTTTACTGATCTCTTTATAATTAACCACCATATAAACGAGGCAAGTACTTGATGACAGCTCGACAATGACTCGTAGAAATAAAGAACAATTTTTCGCTTAATGAACACTTTTTTTTTAATCTTGGATGATATTTATTTTACTAAATAACATAAACCACAAAATCCTATTGAAATACAATATATGCAGATGTTATTGAAGACACAGTGATATACAATGATTCTATTTTCTAAGATCTGTGCGGTCGAGATTTACAGATTCATTCCATAAAGAAATTATCTATTTAGATGAACACAACAAATGTCTCAATAGTTTTACCAATCAGCTGTGCCATTGAAATAGTTGAAAACAGATTATTAAAAACAGAAATGCAGACGATAGCCGAACATAACTGATGCATTGTATAACTTACTTAGACTAAGTGTTGGAGAGTGAGTACAACAGCTAATGACGTAATACGTAATCAACTGAACCACACCTCAAGTACAATTAACCATAAACCAATTTAAAATCTTATAAAACAACTCCAGCAGTAACATATTCTATAACTAAATATAACAACCAAATTACCGTAACAATAATAAAATATAATAAAACCATAAAATTCCATATGAAAGCCGAAACAAAACAGTAGATGAATACACACTACTGAAACAGATTTTAAGTAGTATCACTTAAATATTTTTCAATAAAGCATAGAGTCGATCAATTAGAACGTTGTAAATCCAATTAAGATATTTAAACAAATTCAACTTTGAGACTATTTGCCAAACTGTTAAAAAAAGGTGCACAATCGTATTTACATATGTACTCATTACTAGGATGACAAGTTAAATGTGCTAAATATGTAAATTTAATTGGAATGAATTTTGTAGATTGTAGTGTTATTCTCAACTAAAACTACTACTTCTATCACTTGAAACCAATAAATCAATTAGAGAATATCAAAAAAGTAGGACAGACTGACTAAAGTTCATCGTCACAACTAACTACATAGCGCACGTACGAGCTAGAGAGAGAGATTATTGTGTGGTTTTTGAGGTAGGTTGGTTAGTAAGTAGGTGTAAATAAACAAGAACACATAATTCGATTAAACCTGATGAGCTATACAAATAGTTGTTATAGAATGAATTAATAAATAGATGAAATTTGTGAATACTATTTCAAAATGTTGTTATACAATGATTTATGAGAATAAAAACCGAAAAACACAAATAAATGAAAAGCATAAACAAAAATTGACAATGAGAATGACTGTATAAACTTCATAGTATAATTGAATTGTGGCTAGCAATGAAATTTAGGACGCCCATTTCAGCTTATTTGGGACTTTTTAGTTAGTTATAACTGTATCCCTGTGTTGACGTTCAGTAGTTCAGCTCAAACCCAGTATCTACTCGCAGGTTCAGAAAGTCATTTGTTCATTCAATAGGTATAATTCTTATTCGGAGTTTTGTATTGTTCTGTTATCAAATATATCAGGATATTATGAGTATGGGGATTTGTGGAAACTGTAGTATTTTCACAGTGGGATTCACGAGCTGATGTACGCTAGAACACCATTGAAAACCTGGAAGCACTGAACAGCCATTTCGTTCTAGTATGGAACTTCTCACCAGTGCGCATCCACGATCCCACATGCGGAACTGGAGTCCAGGATGCGGATGCGCATTGTTTAAGAGTCCCATAGTAGGACGAGACGGCCATTCAGTGCTTCCACGTTTTTAATGGTATTCTAGCTTACGCTGATTCGTGAATTCAACGGTGAAAATATCAGGATATTTCGAAAGGTATATATTCAGTATGTATATATACCAATTTTGTAAACAGATATCTAGTTTTAAATTCTGAATAACATCCTTAGATTCCAAATGAGATGTAACCATACATCATAAGATTGGTTGGAATTAATCGTGTCAATATTATCACACAAAAATTTTGATGTTACATGGTTTATATATATATATATATATATATATATATATATATATATATATATTCATTTGATTTAGGTTTAGCCTAATAAACTTCCTTTTCTACTCATTGTCTTCTCACTCTGTATCAAGTGGGGGATCGTGCATAGGAAACTTAAGGATAAGTATCAGTTTCGAACAACGCACGTCATAACAAGAGTTTTAAGTGAAATGAACGTTTTAATGTGTGTTGAAATGAGGTATTCGTAATGTAGAATCAAAGGAAACTGTGACGATAGTAAGCGAAATAAACATATAGGTAAAGTTGAATAAAAGAAATGCCAAAGTGGACTGATGAACATGTCAAACATTTAGTCAGAGAGACTACGTAATCTGCAACTAGGGTGATGAAGTAGTAGAGAAAGTTAGAATGAAGTGAGTTTGGTACAGAATACCCCAAATGAATATAAATAATGACCAATATAATGCGAGGTAATGGACACCGATTTCATCGTAGGGTGAGACTCACCAGGACTGTGTACTCACAACCTTCAGACTTCGTAATGAGCAAGTTAACCTTTAACCTGTTTGAGTTAGTATAAAGTGGTTCAAGTTGAGACTCGCACTACTGTCCTCCATGCCAAATGTATATTGGAAGATAACCTAGGTGTAACTAGACTACGGTGTTAGTTTAGAATTAAACGATCTCTAAAGAAAACCAGGGAACAGAACAATCTGTGAAAAATCAATTGCCAATCATAAAGGAATAATAAGTAGTATGATAATAGTTGGTGTGTTGAGCGGAAGCTTACGAAAAACAAAATATGTGAAAACACAGTAACCCAGTTACATAGTGATTATGTAGCAAAAATATGAATAGTAGCAATTTGAAAAACGGTTCTGAAAGGTCCAACGTTTTCTAGTACTCGTCCTCTTTTAACAGGATCACCTTAAAGCAAAGATGGTTATGTGCTTGAAACTAATTTAAACAAGAAAACAGATTGGATTTACTTCTTAGCGTGAAAAGCCCTTGTTCTCTGTATATTTCTACAGCAATTACATCGACTGATTTCAAGATTCTGGAACGTGGTCACTAATGCTGGAAGCTTACTACTCCTAACACATTAGATTATGACGAATGATTGATTAGGGTTCGTGAATCAAGTAGAACTGTTAAGCCTGAATCGTTTATGGAGGTAACAACATGTATGCTTAGACTATCTCCAATATGTCCATAGTGCGAAAAAGTAAATTTCTAAAACATTGATCGATGTGATCGACTGTACAGAATCAGTTGAAATGAACAAAGTTTCGACTGTTTTGTTTAACGCTTGAATCAAAACAATTCACTTTACAACTGTCTGTTCATTTTTTACAATTCGCATCATGATCTGATCTTAGATATTGGACATTCTTTGGAAATCAGGATTATTGAAAAGTTTCATCCTGGTATGCAATGCTTTAGTAGTGTGCATACGCGATTCAACAGCAGATTACAACTAAAACCTTCAAATCTCACCCAGAGTGCTAAACGATTTAAACCACTGATTTGGACATGAAAAATGAAGGCACTGGGATCGATCCCCGATGAGGTTGTGGATGTACACTACAATCCACAAAAACATTCCATATATCCGATCGTTCCTTTTACCATTAATTTAAATCTATAACTGTGTCGAATCCGATAGAAATTCACAAATGAACAAGTAAGAGGGATATTCTTCGTTCTTTTCATTTGTGATTGTTCAAAAGCCAAATGTGTATAAAATTTAATGATTTTATAGTGCAAAAATAAAATTAATTAACGGGAGAATAGAAGCTATCAGCTGGCTGATTAGAGCTGAATACACATAAGTGCACAGAGATGAACATGAAGGCACACACACACATACAAGTACAAATAGATTGCAAGGGCAGATAAAGGGTTAAAAGGGAGCAATACATATGAAGTACACGCGCACGCACACACACCCAAAAGCAGCATACCTGACACCTCTGTATATCTCTCTGTAAAAGATAGGCCTAATAAAATTAAATTTATGAAAATAGAAAATACTTACACGCATAACCTATAGAAAACTTACACAATAGGTGGTAAAAAGGAGGGCGAAATAACACATTACATAATGTGTAATGCTGAGACACCCAGATGACGTTATGTGATGAGGAAGTTAGGGGTAATAGACAGAGAGTTAGGAATTTGAACTCCAATTATGAGTGGATTGACCATAATGAGTAAGGTATATAACAAGGGAACTGTTATCCGTTTACAGATTTCTAATCGTCTGGATGATACAATGTCTGTAATATGAATCGTAACTCCATGAAAAAAGTCACTCATTAATTGGACGAATGATATATACGCTTAATGCCTTCTAAGGAAAACATAAAGTTGAATAAATACATGAAATATCCAATTTTACAGATGAGCCATATGAGTACACACTAATTATAAGTCAGATGAAATCCACATTCCTACAATGTCACCTTATTAATTTAAGATGATTCGTAACTATGTGCATTTGTCCATTAGTGTGGTGTAATTTAGCGATTAGTTTATGCATATCACATTGCGTAATATTGAAGCTAAGTCTGAGAAAGTTATATTGAAAAAAATGAGTATAATTTAGTTTTTCAATCTACTTACAAACGTTAAATGGACCTTGATTCTACACATTGTGTTGTCGTGAAGCCATGTTAGTGTTAAGATGCTATTTCACTTAAAATAATTTCAAATTCTTCTGCTTTTTGTCTCTTGTATGAATACTTGTAAAATGATTTGACTGACGTGAATTAGAATCCCATGATAAGTTGCCACACATTTGATCTACAGGTTGTAAATTAATTATTTCTGATCTGCATTGTAATAAATTTGAGAAAGATTCTAAATTGAAGGTTATATTCATCATAAGTTGATCTCAATTGAAGTACCATTGAAAATCAGGGAGTAGTGGATAGTTGCTTTTATCCTAGTATGAGATTGACTTCTCAGTAATGTGATCCCTAGTTTTTAACTGATATTAATCATCTGTGACAAATACAATGTACAAATGAAAAAAACAGTCTCTACAAAACTCAGTTCAACGAGAAAAAAAGACTCAAAATTATTCAAAACAATCAACAACATTCTACCACGCAGATGAATGCTACTAGCTTATTTTAGGAAGAACAGAAGTATATCTTACCTGAAGACGTGCATGTTCTCTAGGTGATATGCGATAACCGTTTAATGTCATCCACCATGAACTATCCAATACCATAGACATATTAAGATTTGATGTTAAACTAGACAAACTGACAGATTCAGTTAGATTTGGTAATGAATCTGTTGAGAATTGTTGTTTAGTTGGTGTACCTTGTTGTTTATCTGATATTAATTGTTGATTGACTTCATCATCAACAATATCATTTGTAGTAGTAGAAATCATAGTAGTACTATTCAACTGTACAAATGCATCTTTATTAAATAAATTCCTTAACTCGTTGGATATGTTATTTTTGTCTAAACCATTCATTGATGGCAAACTTTGCTTACGTACAATTTTTCCTTCTGTATGATTATTATTAGCTAAAATATCTATAAGCTGATAACTAACACGATTCGCGGAATCCAGTGAATTTTGTTGATGAATTATTTGACGTTGAGATTGTTGTCTTTGATTAGTAAGAGCGAATGGTGGAAGTAAAGCCGACCAATAAGTGACTAACAATTTTCGATCATCTAATGATAATTGATCTAAGCATGAAAGTAATAATGTTCGAGCAGCATAACGAATCTGTAGAGCACAAAAGGAAGACAACAAATGACAACAAATATGAAAATGAATTGGATTTTCCGACTAAAAAACCCACAAAATAAATGTTTAGTAAAATGAAAGGATGAAGACCATCTTCTAAACTAGAATGTTAGATACTAAGCAGGGGTAGGAAAACCTTGATTCCTAACTAATGATATGTATAGGTCTCCAGATTTCTAAGGAAAAGAAATGGCTTATGAATCAATTTTGATTATCAGCCTACCATAGGATGATATCTCCTGAAATTTCTTTACTGTCTTATGGATTATACCTTTAAATTAAAGGCTCCGAGAGTGGCCCTCTAAGAAAACCACCTGCTTCGGATTGAATTCGCGGCTCTACTAGATGGTCTCCTAACAAGAACAGAGAGAGATAGAACATTTACTGAACCATTGCTCCATCCTAATGAATATATGTATATATAAGATACCACCGGATTTTGCACTCAAAGCCCTAGGGTGTCGCAAATACAGTGATACATTTGAATTATTCAATTGGAATTCAATGGTTTACATTTTTAGCCCCAGTCAAAATGAAGTTATCAAATAATTCAATCAGTAACTGAATACTGACTGAGTGATATCGTTTAAGTGCAATAAAACCTGAAGGCGTTTAGTTCGATCTTTAAAACGTTATGAGTAAGGGCTGTTTATAAGTCCCAAACTACGACGAAACAGTTGTCTAATGTCTCCCGTTTTCAATTATTCATCCAAATATGCTAAAATGTGCAGATGTGCATTTATAAAGTTTACAGTGGATATTTAACGATGGAAATTGTGTGATTGGTATACGAAATAAACATGAAATACATGTAACTATCATTTCATTGCTCATATTCCAGACTGTATACCATTTTCTGTCTTTTTTTAAAGTGTTACAGCAGAATACGGTATACAACTAACGTCATTCGAAAGTGTAGAAACTCGACAGCCACATCGCAAAAGACGCAGGGGAAGCGATTATTGGGTAAGAGTCAAAAATGTACACAAAAATATGGGTATTTATAGTAAGTAGTGCTGGCTATAACATCATTAGAATCCAGCAAGTCTGCAAGGAGGCAAATTAAGCAATTGTCCGATCATAGCATGTCACACTGATATTCTAGAAGGCCCTATCAGGTTCTAATTGGATGGGTTCTCTTCGGTTCCTTTAGAACCTATAGAGGGGCTTTGTCTTGCATTTCAGAGCCGTCCCAACAAGAAATATTTGCTGTAAATTATGATTTTCGAGTTTCAAGAACGAATTTCCGGGTGGCAAATAGGAGGAAATAATGTTGATATCCAACGATGCAGTGTGGTCGAGTGATGTTTACTCACAACTTAGAATTATTGAATCAGACCCTTCAGAAAAAATTAATATACGACAAACGCTTACCCCAGTAGAATGAGTTCTTTCTTCTAATCGAATTACACGCTGATCTATAGCAACACTGAAGACATGATTATAAGTCACTCAGCAAATAAACGGTTATCTGTACGACGTTGTAGAGATAGTTGAATTTTAACGAGGCCACCAGTCGAGGAGTCTCAATATTAAGACGAAATGGTTAACTAGTGCTTCCAGGTTTTTGATAGTTATCCAACCTAGACTACTTTGTGATCTCAATAAAATTCGACCATCTCCAAAACCTTAATACTAAGAAGTACCGTGCGCTCACTGGTGACTAGCTTAGAGAGGAAATTCCTAGTGAGAAGCATGACCAGTGGAGTTCAACCGTATAAGATGTGATGAAGTTGCCCACCGAAAACAATGGAAGACAGTCGTGAACCAATGTGGAATGATCGAAGTAAGACTTGTACACCATCTGATCCCGATTTAGTAGTCCTGAGATAAAACATAAACACCCAAGACCAAAGGTTCCAGGTCCGATTCCCAGCCATGAGGTCATGTATACGCACTACTAAACAGTCCCATACCAAGACCAAATGGCTATCCAATGCTTCCAGGTTTCCAATCATTGTCTAACTTATATCAGTTCTTAATCTCAATAAAATAAACGACTGAACAAGAATATAGCCATTATAGATCATTAACTATCTTCAATATAATTAATCCCTGACTAAGTATCAGGCTTAATTATTGCTTAATCATCATTGCAATCAAAAAATTATAAAAACAATCACACTTACTGGTAAACAACGATCTTGCCATTTACGTGCAAATAAATTCAATTCAATTGGTGACGGGATAGGTTGTAATTTTCTATTATTAATTGAACTATTATTTTTAGACAAAATCAAACCAATAAATTGTTCTAATAGAAATGCACCAAACTGTAACCAAATTGCGCGCCAATTACTCAAAATTGATATATTTACATTGCTATCAGATAAACATTTTGATGACGATGATAATGATAGTTCTGTCCCATTATCACCATAGATTGCATGCGATAAACGTAGAAGATAATTCCAATTTAACGATGTCATTAATTCAGTTAAACTAACTCCTGATAGAATTAAATTTGTTGAAATAATTGAAGAAAGACAATATGGACGTGGTATTTGTTGAATAAATCCAGATTTTGATACAGTAGCTGATCTAGTACAATAACCTACAACACGAAATTGTATAGGAGAATTCATTGGAATTGATTACGGGATTTTATGTAAAAAAACAATTATTAAACACTCCGCCTGTAGCTCTAATAGGGTTACTGCCGGTCCCAAGCCCGGGTAAAGGAGGAGGGTTGGGCATGGGGTTAGCGTCCCCATCCCGTAGAAAACTAACTCGCTAAAAAAACGCTTACCAGAAAAAATAATCCAAACCATTTAAACTCTGCCCTGGGAGTTAGAAGGTCTTCAGTTAGAAGAATTATGACGCTTCATGGTGAAAGCCGAGTTCCTTCGGAAGCCACGAGGCCGATGCCCCTTCTAACAACCAGAGCAAAAATTTTTATAGGTACATGGAACGTTCGAACAATGTGGGAAACCGGGAAGACCAGTCAAATAGCAATGGAAATGAGGAGATACAACTTAGCAGTACTGGGAATCAGCGAAACCCACTGGACCCAAGCTGGACAGAAAAGGCTAGCTACGGGAGAGATGCTGCTATACTCCGGTCACGAGGAGGACAATGCTCCACACACTCAGGGAGTCGCTCTTATGCTGTCCAAAGTAGCACGAAATGCACTTGTAGGATGGGAGTCTCACGGATCCAGAATCATCAAAGCATCATTCAAAACAAAGAAGGAGGGGATCTTAATGAATATTATCCAATGTTATGCACCCACCAATGATAGCAACGACGACATTAAAGATCAGTTCTACGAGCGGCTGCAGTCAATCATTGAGAAATGCCCAAGAAAGGACCTAACTATTCTGATGGGAGATCTAAATGCCAAAGTCGGAATAGACAACACTGGATATGAAGATATTATGGGACGACATGGACTGGGAGAAAGAAACGAAAATGGAGAAAGATTTGCAAATCTATGTGCATTCAACAAATTGGTCATAGGAGGCACAATATTTCCACACAAGCGTATACACAAGGCTACATGGATCTCACCGGACCACACTACAGAGAACCAAATAGATCATATTTGCATCAACAAAAAATTCCGAAGGACAATGGAAGATGTGAGAACCAGGAGAGGTGCTGACGTAGCTTCAGATCACCACCTAGTTGTAGCCAATTTAAAACTGAAGCTAAAAAAGAACTGGACAAGTGGACAAACAGCACTACAAAGGTTCAATACAGCCTTCCTTCGAGATACTGACAAACTCAATGAATTCAAGATAGCTCTCAACAACAGGTTCCAAGCCTTACAAGATCTACTAAAGAAGAAGAAACTAGTATGGAGGACAACTGGAAAGGCATCAAGGAAGCATTAACTTCAACGTGTCAAGAGGTTCTGGGCCTAAAGAAACACCATCATAAGGAATGGATCTCTATAGAAACACTGGACAAGATCAAAGAAAGGAAGAACAAGAAGGCAGCAATTAACAACAGCCGAACACGAGCAGAGAAAGTCCAAGCACAAGCTGAATACATAGAAGCAAACAAACAAGTGAAGAGGAGCATTAGAGCCGACAAGAAGAAATACGTGGAAGAACTAGCAACGACGGCAGAAAAAGCTGCTAGAGAAGGAAATATGAAACAGCTTCACGATACAACGAAGAAACTAGCAGGGAAATACAGTAAACCAGAGAGGCCGGTCAAAGACAAAGAAGGCAAGCCAATCACCGAAATTCAACAACAGCGTAACAGATGGGTGGAATACTTCGAGGAACTCCTGAATAGGCCGGCTCCAATGAATCCACCGGACATCGAAGCAGCACACATAGATCTTCCTATAGATGTCAACCCACCAACGACGGAAGAAATTAGAATGGCCGTCAGACAAATCAAGAACGGGAAAGCAGCAGGACCCGACAACATACCAGCTGAAGCACTGAAATCAGACATCGAAGCAACCACAAGCATGCTATACCTTCTATTCAAAAAGATTTGGGAGGAGGAACAAGTGCCGATGGACTGGAAAGAAGGACACCTCGTCAAGATTCCAAAGAAAGGAGATCTGAGCAAATGTGAAAACTACAGAGGCATTACACTACTGTCAATACCAGGGAAAGTCTTCAACAGAGTGTTGCTGAACCGGATGAAGGATGCAGTAGACGCCCAACTTCGAGATCAACAAGCTGGATTCCGTAAGGATCGGTCGTGCACAGACCAAATTGCAACACTACGGATCATCGTCGAACAATCAGTTGAGTGGAACTCATCACTATACATCAACTTCATTGATTATGAAAAGGCATTCGACAGTGTAGATAGGAGGACATTATGGAAACTTCTTCGACACTACGGAGTTCCTGAGAAGATTGTCAACATTATCCGGAACTCATACGACGGACTACAGTGCAAAGTAGTGCATGGAGGACAGCTGACAGATGCATTCCAAGTAAGGACTGGAGTCAGACAAGGCTGTTTACTCTCTCCCTTCCTCTTTCTTCTGGTGGTCGACTGGATTATGAAGACCTCGACATCTGAAGGAAAACACGGAATACAATGGACAACTCAGAATCAATTAGACGATTTGGACTTCGCAGACGACCTAGCCCTCCTATCACGTACACACGAACAGATGCAGATGAAGACAGCCAGTGTAGCAGCAGTCTCTGCATCAGTAGGCCTCAGCATACACAAAGGGAAAACCAAGGTCCTCAAATTCAAAGCGGAGAACAGCAATCCAATCACTCTTGATGGCGAAACTCTGGAAGATGTAGAGTCCTTCACATACCTAGGAAGCATCATCGATGAACAAGGAGGTTCAGATGCAGACGTAAAGGCGAGGATCGGCAAAGCAAGGGTCGCATTCCTACAATTGAAGAACATATGGAACTCAAAACAACTTTCAACCAATATCAAAGTGAGAATCTTCAATACGAACGTCAAGGCAGTTCTACTGTATGGAGCTGAAACTTGGAGAACTACAACAACCACAATCAAGAAAGTACAAGTATTTATAAATAGCTGCCTACGCAAGATACTCAACATCCACTGGCCGGATACCATCAGCAATAGCCTTCTGTGGGAGAGAACAAACCAACTTCCAGCTGAAGAAGAAATTAGGAAAAGACGATGGAAATGGATAGGACATACATTACGCAAATCGTCAAACTGCATCACGAGGCAAGCCCTAACTTGGAACCCTGAAGGGAAGCGAAAAAGAGGAAGGCCAAAGAACACATTGCGTCGGATTATAGAAGCAGATATGAAAAGGATGAATTACAACTGGACGGAGCTAGAAAGGATTGCCCAGGACAGGGTTGGATGGAGAATGCTGGTGAGTGGCCTATGCTCCTTCACGAGGAGTAACAGGCGTAAGTAAGTAAGTTTTTACTTCTGTTTAAATAATGCGCATTACTGTTTCATAAAACCATTAAAGAGGTTTAAAGATGTCTAGAATAATCATTTTATATCAATCTAGGTGGTTTGCAACTTATCAGTCATAATCAACGTACAGGATGTCATAAATGTACGTTGATTCAAGTTTCCACAATGCATCACTACAGTAAGATTATCAAGGTCTACGTTAAAGTAATAGTAATGTGTGTATTCTACTTATGCTGACATACAATAAGTACGTAGCAGCAATCGGAATAGGAAGGTCTGTCAACAGAAGATTGAATTGAAGACAACAGGTGGAAGATATGCAAATAATGTATTTAATGTATGATTTTCATGTCTTACGAAAGCACTCTGTAATTTTGCATTAAACAATAAATTGGTGTTCTCCACTTGAGTTCTCGTTCACTACAGTAGTAGTACCAGTGAAAGTAGAAAGATTAGACATAAGGAATATGATTTGAGAACAAGAAATGGATTCACAAAATAAAAATCAGGATCCTAAAGAAAACAAAGAGTGGACGAATCTGCGCCATAGTGGTTAATTATTTGTGAATGTGATATTTTGAGGAAACACTGACTTTGTTATGGTTAAAGACACAAATTGAAATCACGTACAATATTGCCAGCTGGACAGGTGAACTATTACACGAATTTACACACTGGTCAGAAAAAAACAATCAAGACCTCACTGTTTATTGGTACTCAAACTCCTTCAAACCCAGTAGCCAACCAAATGATGATAAGAAGCAGATTAGTTCTCAACTGTACTCAATCCAGTCGGCACTCAAAATCCATACAATTATACGCTTGAAATAACCGACCGCACAATACACTTAAATAAGAAATCATAGTTTAAGCACAATCATACCACTGTGGTGTGAGCTACTAATACGGACAGACATAAGGAGTATGAAACAGGAATTAGAATGCTTACCAGAAAAAAGATTGAAATAACGAGAAGAGGAAGGAAAATAGAGAGTAATCAGAACAACAACGGGACTAGAGAGTGTTGGAGCATGTAAAGGACAACTCAAAGAAGGTGTCCAAATGAAGCATTTAATGATTTCCGTATTTTATGGAAACACTGTATAATTTTGCATATAACAGTAAATTACTTTACTGTACCTGAATTATCGGTTACAACACCAAAAGCGGTAAAGGGTGCAGCAAACAGTATATAGTCAATTGACAGTAATTAAAGAATATTACAACGTACAACAGCAGTTAGTCAGTCCACCAGAAACTTAAATAAGTGGGAATAGAAATGTAACAACATTCTTATCTGTTAATTATGTGAAGCCCCCCCCTACCCAATAGGACTCAGGAATTTACATCGACTGATCACTAAGTAGTTAATAATGTCGATTTTATCTAATCCATTGTTGCTGACTGAATTTTATCATTCAAATCACAATTTGCCAACCACTAATCTAAGTAACTTAACATTGCATGTACTATGGTTTAATGTTGGTGGTTCAAGGTAGTCGAAAGGAAACTTAACACTAAGGATCTTTTTAAGCTAATACTCATTAGCAAAGTACACCTCCAATCATATCAAATAATGTAATTCAGAATGAATGATTGTTATACGTCATCTAAGAAGGAATCAGTTAACAAAACAATTTGATTTTTATTATTTTGTTTTCTGTCGTGTCACTTAGACACCCATCATACCGGTTAATGATGACGACCATCATCATCAGCAGCAAGCATGTAACAAGCAATAACCAACTTACCAGGCATACTTAAACTCATACAACCACATTTGGATATTAGACCAATGCATATTGGTGACTCATGTGTACGTAATTGTTGTAGACTATTATTCAACATGGTTTTCAATTTATTCTTATCGATGGATTGATGGTTATGACATAATTTTTCAATAATTTCATCCACTGACAAATCTATACCCCATGGATGAATTAACGAAATGATAATTTGTAGAAAAGTTGCCAGTGTAACATCCATTGTGAATATATCATCACGATAGAGTGATGATGACGAGGTTGGAGTTTTTTCTGTTGTTATTGTTGAACTATTATAGTTAATCTGTAGTTGTTTTTGAAAAAAATTAACAGAATAAAAATGATACACGGTCAGTATTAAAGTTCTTCGCTAAAATATTGTACATCGAGGAAAATATATCGAATAATAAATAATAGTGGGCAGACAGTAGATCAGTACAGTCCGATGTTTAATGAATTTTCCATTCAGTTATCAAGTGGTAGGTTCGAACCCTGATCCACTAACTTAGGTTTAGGCTATTTGGATAGTGAGATTACTAGTACTTAGAGCTGCAGTCTCGCAAAAAATTTGTACCTGATAAATGAGTTAGTAAAAAACATTAAAATAGTAATAGCTGAAGCAATTAGTTCCTACTAATAGGTTGCAGATACCAACCTTTGTACTATACGTCGATTTGGGTAACTAATCATATGTCGCGACCCCCCACATACACACACAGATGATATGGCCGGTAATATAATAAACACATATTTGGTCTATAGGTTACATTTAGGTTTCAGATTGTAAAAAACTAAGAGATTCAGATTCGAATCTAACAACTGACACAACACTTCTGTAATATTTCTCGATACGATTGAAGATGGAGAGGAGACAAGAGATTAGGAAAAGCCTTATATTAAAGAAGGCACGTTTGTAATGGATCAACTCTATTTATGTAGCAATAAATATTGATCTTGGAACGTATAACAAGAAAAGACTAAAAGTAATGAAGGTATATTTTAGGGGGTTGTATCACTCAATTACTGCCCAGTTGGCTCCAACGGAAAAACATTCATCAACAGACCTGAAGTGCATGGTTTCAATCCCTTTCGGAGTTTTGCCGGTACCTACTGCTATAAATTTCAATACTAAGACACAATACATGTCCAGTGATCCCTAGGTTTCAATGATATTCCACATGAGATCAGTCCTGCGACAAATATAACCTACAAATCAAACCAATCTCTGCAAAACCCCTTCAAATCAGTAAAAACGTTTTTATACATAGGCATCTATGTGAAGACATTAGTTAGTTAATTAGTTCAGAGAATACTTTTTGCTTATGAACTAAGGTCATAACGACAGAATGACTGAAAATCAAGAGGCACTGATGAACAATTATTTCTTTCTATTTTCCAAAACATAAACAGTGTCCCCATCCAACACTAAAGCAATGAATTAATACAGGGATTCCCTAAACTTCTACTCAGAAGCTATAATTTGTAAAGTCAATCAATTAAAAACATACATCTCAAAGATGTTAGTTACGAACAAGTAAACTCGATAAATAACCGACCACATTGAAATCAAACACCTATTTATGTCTAAATTTCATGACCTATCCTGATACAACTACCAAATGGTGAGAGTTGTGACTTCCTTAGTCTATATGATAAATACACAAGTCTAGATCATAAAATCTTTATTCAACAAATCTTTTGATGATTTTACAACCAAACTTGGCTAATTAGTTATAAAAAGGCAGAGTGCTCACGAGGGAACAGTATTAGGACGATGTAAAGATGGTGAGGCAGTTGAAACACTTGACTTCGGAAGACCTCTACAGGTGTTTTAAATGATGACAATCGAGATGTGGCAGGTTTCAAGTCACAAATAAAGAGAATTTTAATGCGAATAGAATCGGCGTACACTAAATTTGGAAATTTACGGTTTTTATGACTTCTGCTTATATATTTACTGAAAACACTACTGTTATATCTAGAGCTTAGATTCTTGATATATTGCGTACAACTTGAGCACTCAAACGCTCCAATTCGAAAATGAGAAGACAGAAGATGAGTGAAAAGGAATGCTATTCCAAACGGTGTCAAATATGATACAAAACTCCCAGGTATTTATAGTTTTTAGTAAAAGTGAAATCATCTTGATAGTCATCCAATCCGCATACAGGGGTCTTTAGCATTTGTCCATTAGGGAATCTACACGTAAAGATTCTGGAATATTCTTCCGAAAGATGATTAGATCGAACATTTTCGGCTCTTTCTGAGCTCCTTAGAGCCTCCTCCAGTTCACCCGTGGGCCGTCCTCACAACTATATAAACTACGTTTATAGTAAAAAAAATGTTTAGGTAACTAGTACAAAGATTTATTTAAAATCAGTGAAGAAGCATCTATAATGGTTCATGCAAACCACTAAATGCCAACTCATTGATCTAAACTTTAATCGCTCGTTACGAGAAATGAAGGTAGTAGGTTCAAATCTCGATGGGGTCGTCGATGCGCATCGCTTAAGAGTCCCCCATACTAGTACAAAACAACTATCCAGTGCTTTTTCGTTCACAAAGGTAGGTCTATGACGTAAACTAAGAAATAAGTAAGTCAATTATTTCAACGATACAAATTATGCATAAACTCAAATTTATTCATCATCATTATCATCATACCATTTCATTAATATCATTTGAAACTCCATAATTTTGTGATAAAATATCAACTGAAAGAGAAAAAAATAAAACAGAAATATAGAAAACAAAAGATTAAGGATGAAACAAACGGTAGAAAAGAAAAAAAAGGACAAATATTTTGTGTTATTATGTTTTCTGAGTTAGATTATCTAAGTGAAAAGTATTAATTAACATTCGAGGTAACCATAATATTTCTTAGCTCGCTTGTATACACCAAGAAGTTAGTGATAATATTGTCTAAAGCAATAAAATAAGCCTTGTAAATTATAAAACCACCTATTTCAGACAACTAAATTGATAACATCAAAAAGCATCCACTCCTGCTGAGCCTTAAAGCTACTTCGTTATAAACAAACATAATTGGTTGACTTAAGAACAACTTTTGCGGATAATCCATGTTTTCTGTGAATACACAAAAACCGTTTGTTTGTTTTTCATTTTTCTAACTATGAAGACAGGTTACTAGAGCGAAAAAATCTGGTCATGAATTATCAGATGATTGATTTTCTGTTAAGAGTCTGGTAATTAAGATTAACTAACATTTATATAAAAACATTAATGAATTAATTTATTTACCCTAATAGGTTATAATAGATTTGAACTTTGAATAAACATTTTCAATCCCGATATGACTACAATATGAGAATGAATGTCACGCTGGTCTAGTTCCTGGTGTATATTCACTAGTCAAAATAACTTGATATCGAGTACACTTAGCTATGATGTAGATCGATGATTGAAGGTGAAGCGTTAAATTAGTCAACACATATTTGCAACTAACATAGATTAGAATATTCAGAGGGGAATCTGTTCTTTCAGAACTGTGGATGGCCTTCGTTGATGAACACCGATTAGCATGAAATTTAGGGCTCTATGATGATTACCTTCAACGACTTAGTATATATTATGTACAAAGAGAAGTATTTACGTTTCAAATTTACTTTTGTATTTCGAATCAGTATGAAAATCGGTGAAACAGTACAAATAAAAAGCACTCCTCAGCTAATTTTCATCCCTGGCAAGCACTACGAAATTCTTATTAATTCCTCTCGCTTACGATCTTTGTCAATTTGATCAGAATGATAAACAATTTCTTACTGAATCTAACATTGACTCAAATAATTCCCGGAAATCTAAGGTCATTTATAGTTACAAACTTGAAGCAAAGTTTACAAATCAAAGGGTTAGAGGAACATGGAAACAGGAAATGCCAATCAAATTATTTGTGCAATTATCATTCAATGGACCCTAGCAATAGTAATAATAAAACTAGACTCATAGGAAGCAATTCTTGTGAACATTTACATACATATGAGCAGGTGTGTGTATTTACTCAGGCGAAAACTATCACAGCACTTGTCAGACAAACTGCATATATTCGCAATAAAAAAATTATAGATCCCTAAAACAAAAATGCATTAAATTCTAAATCAGTCTATTCAATGATAATTTTGGTTTACTTATTTAGTTAATATATCACCCTCAAAACACATATGACTTTCTTCATCATTTAACCATTTGAACGAATTGTAAATGAGAGACAACTTTCATCCTGTTAGGTAGTTGATACCCATCTAGCCCCACCTCGTTGGCCACAATATTTCCAATCTTAGCCACTAGTTCAGACAAAGGTATAAAAGCGCATTTATCTAAAAGACAGTTTAATGTTAAATTTAATACAAGTACCTATGAGGTGCAATTGGTTAGCCCTCTACTCTAATACAACCACGTGCTTATACCTGGTTCCAGGGGAGTGTATTTATTCCTTTTATGCTGTGAGGATGGTTCTACGAACTTAAAAGCTTAAGTCGGGTTATAGGATATGACGAGTCAACACCCATGAGAATCGGAAACAGTGATTTCAAACTAATGGTGCAAAGGAACCTGAAGATTCCAAGTGAATAAACGCCGCATAAATATATTTTGGTCACTGAATACCATGGGGCTGCATCTCCTGACGTCGCTATATTGCCTTGTAGATTAGATCATCAGGTTAAATGCTCGGGAAGTGGTCCCCTAAGAAAACCATCCATTTGGGTTTGGGTAATCGGGGTGTATTTCAACTCACACACAAAAATATGATGAATATTGAACTCTTTTCAACTGACTAATGCAACCTTTACAATGTTCATGTGATAATCAACTTAAATGGAGCGGTTTAAATACTCGTCTTTCACATAGTGAGTCACGAATTCAAGCCATACTCTACTTATTCCGGTCCAAGTAACCTGCGTTCAGTACACAAATCTACACCTAGTCGGTGCGTTTGTATATGTAAGCTTCTCTAACTGAAAAATCTCTAAAGGACAAATTACATAACAATAGAGCCTAACAATGTCAACATTTAGTTGTCTCAAGCGACAAATGTAGTGTTTCTTAATTTGTGATAACTTTTCATAAGAAATGACTCCATTATGAATGACAATGAGTGAATTACGAAATATAAATCCAGTTTCATTCCACACAATATACGTAGACTAACCGGGTACTAAGTAAGGATGGCAGATAGATTGATGAAGTAGTGAAACTTCATCAGTTGAGATGGCTTGGACACGTGTTGCGTATGCCCAACCACCAACTGCCTCGACGTGCGATGCTCAATGGTATAGGAGTAGGTTGGAAGAAAGCTAGGGGCGGCCAGACCAAAACATGGCACAAATCCACGAAGTAACTGACAAGTGCACTGAGCCATGTTGGTAGGTGTAGACTACCTGGTCGGGGACCGCGAGATGATAGCAACCGATGGTTAGAGACCCTGAATGACATGGCTCAAAATCGTTGACAATGGCGCAGGTGCATCCACTCTTTGTGTTCTCCAAAATTCTAATCTCCTGAATCCTCCTTGTCTCTTTTTTTCTCTTTCGAAATTTATTCCACTGAATTATACTTCTTGAATAACATCTTCAAACCCTAATCTTTCCGATTACTGTTTATACTCTTACTACCTCTACCAATACGGGATTCGAATCGACAACTCCATCTCTGTTCTAATATGGTATGGCAACTTGAACCGATGTACGTACCTACGAAGTTCTACGTTGTTACTGACTGACTGGCTGATGTAGACTAACCACGTTTGGACAATAGTGGTAATAATAACCAAATACGAAGTGAATTGAAAGAATTTTATTCGGACTTTCATTTACTCAGGTAGACGGTAAGAAGTGATGAATAGAGAAAGGAATCTCAGCTTGTTCAATTGTATCAAGCGTTTGACTCAACATTTATGGTTAGGCGGAAAAAGGTAATTGTAAGTATAGGGTTGTAGAGATTGTTGAGCTTCATTGAAGTAATAAACCGATCAATGGTAGACCACCATTTAAAATCTTAGAACACTAGATGGCCGTTTTATCCTAGTATACCGGCTTAATGGTCTAAAGGTAAAGCATTCGCGCGCAATATCGTAAGTTCTGGGTTTGATCCCCATGTGCAAGGTAGTGGATGCCCACCACTGAGGAGTCCCACATTAGGATGAAACGGCTACCCAGTGCTTCTATCTTTTTAATGGTAGTCTAACATTGGTCGATTGATGATTTCAAAGAAAAAGAAAAGCTGTAATGAATAAAGTGATAAACAAACACATACACTCATCTAAAAACAAACAACATTACAAATGAATCAACTGACAATGTCAAGTATGTGTGTACACATAATGACTTAGAAATTAAAGGATAAGATTAATTCGTTTGTTCAAAATTTAGAATGATTGTAGACATGATGATACTGTACAAAATGCCAAAACACCAAAAACTGATTATTCTCATTATTAATTATTAAACAATTACATACTACTTACCAATAAGTGATTCAATATCCCAATGAAAAACAAATGCAGCTGGACCGGAATTCCATCTCAATTGATTTTTATTATTCATACCAAGTTTATCCTGACTATTTGTTACTGTTGTCGATCCAATTAAATGTAATTGTACAGGTGGTAAATTATTAGTACATAATTTTTGTAAATCATCAACTGTTGAATACTTTAATCGACTAGGTGCAGTAAGATGAATTGTACCACAGGAACATGTTGAATTGACACCACCACAAAATGGTATAGCTAATGATGTATAAATTGAATATTGATTTGGTACGCCAGCTAATGATCTAGACTTATATGATGACATGGTTATTGACGGTAAACTGGAAAATGTAAAACTTAAAAATGTTGATGGATGATAAACTTCAGTAATGAATTGAGCTTGTTCAAAAAGATCTCTAGCTGATTGTTCTGTTTCAATACTAAATAAAGAGAAAAATGTACTTTTTAAAGGGGGAGATTGAGAAAGATATAACTCTGAGTATATCTACAATGGGTTCGGGCCTTCTGGAAAACACAAGTTTCATAAACCAGAGGTTCCTTTACGTCCAATTCTAGACATGAAACACTCACCATAAAATTCAACAGAAAAATGGTTGGTGAGATTGTTAGAACCATCACACCAAGACTTAGTTAAGTACAGAGTTAAAGATGTATTTGAATTTGTGGATACAACAAAAAGTATGAATATAAAAGGCAAAACCGTGTTATCACTAGACATAACATCTTAGTTCACCAACATCTCATTGACAGAAACCATAGATTACATATGTGAACAACTGCTAGAAAAGAAAATAGAGATACCGATCCCAGTAAATAGAATCAACTAGCTTCTGTTGAAATGTACGATGAGTATCTGATTTACGTTTAACAATCAATTTTATAGACAAATAGATAGAGTAGCAATGGGATAACCCCTAGGCCCGATCTTCGCCAATATTTTTTCTAGCTAAACTGAAAAATGGATCGTTGGAAGACATCCTAAATAGGCTAGGTTATTATTGTCGATATCTAGATGACGTACTAATCATATGTAAAGAAAGTATCGACAAACAACAGTTGTTGAATAGTTTCAATAACGTTCACCCATCTATTAAGTTCAACAGCGAAGAGGATAACGATAATAGCATAGCTTTTTTCTAGAAGGATAGATAGTTTCACAAAAAGAAATGTATTTAGAAAGAATACTTAGACAGGTCAGTATACCCAATTTCATAACTATACACCTCTTCAACACGAAATAAATTTGGTTAAATGTATTGGCCACAGAATCAAACTATTATGTTCGGAGGATAGTGTAAATAGCGAAACAGATAAATAAAGAACATGTAGACTCAAAAGATCTGTTAAAAGGACGTTTCACGCCGCCGAGTTACATGCAATTTTCTCAACCAGACCGCTACTTACAAAACAAATCAAGGATAGGTTACCGATGTTAGGCTGTTCCATGTGTGTATATAAAGTTAACAGCTCCTATGGAGCTAGTTACATAAGCCATACTCATAGGGCTTTATTCTTGTGTGTTTGTGAACATGTACCAGTATGGTTGAAAAAAAGGAGTAGCTATATATATTAATAGCCCCATTATTTCTCACTTGGTCGACAGTGAACATCATATTAAAATAGATGAAGCTTTCTCTCTTTCATTTCCAGTTTCAAATAATCTACCTAAAGGAGCTAGATTAAATTTCCTATATATCTGGATCAACTCGAGATAAATTATTTATCCAGAAGAGGTATATACAGCCTCTATGTTTACCTTGGTCCACAACGGGACCACCAGATACCTTAACTAGATAATATAAACCTTTAATCCCCCCTCCTAATTCCTTTTGTATTCATATCTTTATTAATCTATACATTCATCTTTCCCAATACTCATGAGCTCTTTTTTTATTGTAATTACCTTGATAACGCCCATCTTTATACATATTATATTCACATAACGTTGTTATTATTACTATGACTATTATCACCTCTATTAACAAGACGAAATTCTACTACTATGCATTTTATTCGCACGATTTAATATATGAGGATTATATTGATCATAACTTGACATTTTACTACGAATCATTCTGACTTCAATAAAATGTCTTTCTTATTAACAAATAACACAATTCTGAAGTATTTATGTCGTAACCAAATGCAAACATTCACCATTTTTAACACTGTCAAATTCATTGATGCATGTCTTATTTTGGCCTTAGTAAAATATCACAATAATTATGGACTTAAAACTGTAGAGCCTGATGATGAAATTATTGAAAACAATTATTCCCTCAAATATTCCGTTTTTAAAAGATGAAACTTTTAGACTTAATCCATATACAAATTCATTTGGTGTTGTTTTACTTGTATCTTCCGATTGTTATTTAGGAGTGCAATTAAACAGTCTCATGTTGGCATATGTGCATCTTGTGTGGATTGCCCCGATATAGCTTTAAGTCACAAACCTTCATCAACTCTGGGATGCAGGTACATCCAGCTGACGAGTCCCAAATAGGACGAAACGCGTGTTCTCCATCCCACTGCTAACCACTATCCATCGTTGCTTAATCCATATATATTTCATTTGTACAATTAATGAAACACTTGAGGACTATGGTATTCTCTTGTACAAGGTGATGGTCATTAGTTTGACGGGTATACATGAAATTGTCATTAGTTTGTAGTGTCAGTTACTATGTTAAGCTCATAATATATCTTATTCTAGCTTTCGGACATCCCATTCTATTCATTCTACTTGAGTCATATGTTGACCTTGTTAATTATTCGCTTGTCAGCCTTGATTGTTTTTATATGAGCGTATATGTGTGTGCACATCACATCCCATGACTCATTGCATGTCTGTAGCTTTATTTTGTCTGACTATAAATATTGAGTAACGCTTGACTAAAATGGAGTTGGCTTCCCAGCCATCTTCCCTGCGTGTCATTTTGCTTTGCTCGGTTCCATTCGCTTCATATACAAAATATATGTATTCAAAATCCCATTCTCGTCATTTAACTTATTTAATTCCGTTATTGACTAACGTGATTTAAGTCGACGGTGATATACGAGAAAAGGCGATAACAGTCATCCGTACGATCTTGGAGTCAGATCTACGGGCCACTAAAAGTTGACTTAATCATCTAAAATGTTTTGATTCAGTGAACATACACGAAGGTAATATCTCAAAAAATGAATGTTCACATGAATTAGCCACTTAACAGTAAAAAAACGTTATAATGATGATGTCTAGTCATGAGTGCTAATTAACATTTTACAGATCAAATTGAAATCGGATCATGAATTCTAAGATCCATCATCATTATGGTGAGGATATCGATATGGACAAGTAAATAAGCACTCAAATGGTAAAAAAAAACTGAAAAACGGGATTTTCTGGTTTAGCAGAAGGCTGACCTCATGATAAAACCAGGAATGCCTGACATGATGTTTTCGGATTTTTCCACGCCACATATTTTCTGCAGTTGACTGAGATCTCATGTGTTATTCATCCTGCAAAATCACTTATACGAGGAAAAAACACGATAGAATAATGTCAGTGACATGTAGGATGCCGCGACTAAGTTTGTAAATGTTGCGTTATGTGTGTTGTAACAGCTTTATGCTCCAATACATGATCGCAGTCAATAACTTATGAATATTTGGTAAAAGTATATTTTCAAAATTACTTATCAGCTGAAAACCTCAAAAGAACCCTGTTATTACTGTTTAGTTGAAGGAATTTTGAAGGGATTGATTTTATTTGTAGATTTTGTTCGTCATAGATTGATTGATCTCAGTCGTAGTACTATTGAAGATCCAAGAGTACTAGACACTGGTTCCATCCTGGTATGTGACACAGCCATGCGCATAACCCATAACCCCGTGCTAGGGAACGAACTTATGAAAGTCAGGTCTCAACTGAAGTCACTCACAGAATAAACTAACATCAACAGATGCAATTGACTTCTAGATTAATGGACGAAGTTTTAGTGAGATATTGTGTCTCGTAGAGTTTATACACATCGGCAGTGAAACGGAAATTATTTAAAGTATTGGACGAGTGTCGCTATATATGACGAATTGATTGAAATTAGAAATGTGTATACCATTGGTTCCTAACGTCGCGAATGCTATGAGACCTACAGGCCTTACGTTCAATCCCTAGAGGGTTTGTAGACAAGTAGTGCTAAGGAGTTCCATACCAAGACAAAAATGGTATCCAGTGCTCCTTGCATTTCAATGGTACTCCAACCGAGATTAATTGAAAGAATACAATAGGCCAAACTGTTGTTATTTATCTTGAAAACTGTTACATCAGAACTTGATATATATAACCAATAATATAACTTTTATAGAATGAGAAATAAAACTTTTGACTAACACTTACCGTTCTAAACAACCCATAGTTATATCCCATACTGTTACTGTACCATCTAAATAATTAATAAATAAAAGATCTTCAGCTAGTCTCCAACCAATAGCTACAACTGGACATGAAGATAAATTACTTGTATTACGTGCGTAAAGGAAGGGACGTTTTTCTTTTAAATTAATTAACCAGACTGAACCATCTGCACCGAATGAACAAATAGTTGTCTGGATACAAAAACAAATTTTTGGATTAAAAATAGTAATCATGATAACCAAGGACTATATACATTTACCGGTAGAATGAAACAAATAAATTAATAGAGGATACTATTCCATTTACATGTACTCAGAATTTTATTTATAATTAGAGAGGGAGATATAACAGTAAAATTCTACTATATGTCGACGAATATGATTATCGCTTGTAAAAAACTTGAGAAAATCCAAGTACAGACTATACAGATGAAAAATTTATACAGAATAAAGATATTAAAAAGGATACACACTTTTTTTATATAATTAACAAATTTATCATGGTTCATTACAAGTTCATCCTCTCCTTAATTTGAAAGTATATTTAATGTACAAACTCATTTATTAAAAACTCTATATCTTTTACTTATCTAAATCTTTACTCAAAGGTAAACAATCTTTTCACTGTATCCGCATTCCCTCAAAACTGTCAGTATACACCCATCTCCTGTTAGAGCGTCTACAAAACGACATTCGTGAACAATGATTCCATGATTAGATACATGTCTAATCAAATAAAGAACGTTGTCTTAATTGAATATTTTCGCAGTAAAGCAAAAGAGAGTTGAAGATATTCGATTTCAAACTTTTCAAAATATTATATCAGAATGAAGACTGAAGGAATGGTAACTTCCAGGAGTAATTTATGGACTATTATTATATACATACTTGCTTAATAATCATTAAGTAACTAGATTGCATATATTTATATTTCTTTTATCATACGATTTCGATTGACGCATTGACTACTGTTATACGATTTACGATCCTTAATCTATTCCAAGTTTATTATTCATAGTCTCTCCTATTCACAGACACTTTTGGCTTGATCCTGTATAATTTCTGTTTTCTATCTTATGGTATTATGTGATCTGGTCTTGTTAGAGGTGCTAGATCCCCAGAAATCGATTGGTCAACGTCTTATTCCTGTAATTTTATTTTGGAGATTTGAATTTAATGTTTTCGCGCCAAAACGCCCATTTTTACCTTCAGATTGTATTTCCCATTTAGAAGAACGCCAAATGTCATTGGTTCGTTGCCTCCTTTAATACGCTATTTTGTGACGTTTCAAAAGAACCTTTTTATGCTGCATATATACGCGTGAATTGTGTATTTGGTTGTTCGTGCTTCTGGCTGCTGGTGGAATATACATTTCACTCATTTGAACCTGGTCTTCTCCCTTTAGTTGGTCAACTAAGGGACAATAAGTCATAGAACTCGGGATTCCGATTGGTGGCTTTGTTACATGATGTTAGACAGAGGCAAAAAGAAAGCATAAAATAGGTTCTACATTACTAACATTAGTATAGCGATTTGTGGGAATCGTAGTATTTCTAAAGTTGAATTCACATTGTAATTCATATATTAAGACTAGGTTTATTTATTCAGCTTTAAGTGAAAAGATTTTTGCGATAATCAATGGTGTTAATCAACAGGCCAAACTAGAACAGGATTCGGATCTACAACTCAATGGCCAAGATTGTGTATCTTGACGATCAAGTGATTAGTTATCGATGCGGTCTGATTTGCTTGCAAATAAACTGCGTGCAAAAGATTCGTACAATGAAGGCTAAAATTGCTTTCTGGACTCAACGGGTAGAACTAGGCGAGAAGGACCAATAAGGATTCAGAGTTGGCACAAGGCTGCTAGTGCTACTTTGAAATGTTATTGGTTTAGCACAGGAACAAGGTCGTATGAGTTGGTGTTCTAACTGGCGACTTAGTCACGTGATAATTAACAGGGCAAAAGTCGTAGCAAAACCCTCATCCATGAATCCACGCGTTTGAACCCTACTTTATCTACTTCAGCTTGCACAACCTAGTTATGTCACTAGAAGTCACATGAAAATGGTTGCGGTCCAAGACTGAATATGCAGATCGTAGTTCCAAGCCATGCTCTAACTGTGAGAGCTAATGATACTAAACAACTCTCCAAATCGAAGTACATATCCTAGTAATTGAAAGTTGAACGCCTTAACCACTGAGCAATTCCTCTGTACACATAAATCTATACTTGGTAAATAAGTTAAATTATCGATAACCTATGAATAGTAGTAATAAGCATATAATAATGATTAGATATTGAACATTTGATGAAAACGACTGACCGAAAGTCTCGGATTCCCAGCAACCATGTTGACTACAGATGAAATAGGAGGACCAATTGTTAGGCCAATGCAAGGTGATGCATGACACCGATATACAGCTAGACATAATGAGTTACTATAATTATTGCCAACATATTTTTTACTACTACTATTACTACCAATATTGTTATCGGTAGATTCATAACATGAATTTAAATCCCATAAACGAACTGTGAAATCCATTCCACCAGACAACAGAAAATCTGGACTGAATTGATAATCTGTAATTGTGCTATTGATATTATTATTAATAGTAGTTATAGCATCTCCATTGTTATTGTGATGATTTGATGAATATAATTGTCTTTCACAACTAGCTGGATGTAATAAACTTGTCACAGGACCAATATGACCATTTAAACAAAATTTGGGCAATTGATTATGATGTTGCATTGAAAATTGATCATCTGAACTGTCATCATGATGATCATAGTGCCAATAAATTGTCTTTAAAAAATCAACCATACGAACAATTATAATACGTCCATTAGATAAACCAAAAGCTAAACGATATGGATGAATTGTAGGGGGTGAACCTTGAACACGTTGTTGATATGTGATCATTTGATTAAGTTGTATACAAACAGTTACACTTAGATTACCGTTACCGTTATTATTATTATCACCACTACACAATATTTGATTGGTCATCGTGGAAGCTGTCAATGAATCATCTAATAATGAATGATTGGGACTAATTATATTTGAATGATATTTTGAGTCTGTAATAGAACTCTATAAAAATGTAAAGAGAGAATACACCAGAATCAATATAAATACCATCAAATTGAAATATTTATAAAAAAAACATTTGTCAAGTATGTGTACAATTGATTTATTACTGAATAATGTACAATGTCATATTTATCCAGTCTTTTAAGTCCCTATCGAATTTTACGGATCAAGCCAAAATATGGCCGTTTGTTTTAATGACTCTACACCGCATGCATTATGTTGAGAAGTTAGGTGGTGAAACGTGCTTGACAGGAAACCTTACATCTAGTTTTCGAGTAAGCTGACACTCGTCAGCAAGGCGTAACAGTAGGTTAGTACCCCCATAGAGTACATTAATTCCCCCAAGATTGTGCATACGCCCTGTGGACAAGTATCAAATTGCAAGAAAATTGAGTTCAAGGTTTCCTGTCAATGGAATTCGATCACCACTATAAGACAAAAGATTAAAGACATTGATCAGTATTCAGTTACCAGCTAGCTATAAATATCTATCATACAGGAGGAGGTCAATAACTGCCCGAATAGTTTTGCGGTAACGTTTCAAACTATAAAGCTCTGTGACATCGGTTCAAATCCCACAGACAGCTTCAATCCTATCAAGATTACTGGTACACAATGCTGACAAGTATTAACAAGTATGCAACATAGGTCCTATAGAATTATCTGCCGACTACCTCTAACCAACTTATATGTCAACTATATGAGTCTATGTTCATATTCAGGTATCAGAAGTCTTTATTCTTTGCCTGTAACTGAAGTATTTATCCACACTCGAGGATACTATAAATTGATATTACTGAGCTAAGTATTTTTTTTCTTCAGACTTTTTAACATAAGGATATATTCATATGTAAATCAATTCGTAATCAAATCACTCTGACTGGGACGAGTCGTTTAGGTTCGAATCCCCAAATGGGAAAAGTCCCCTCTTATAATGTTGCACTACTACCCTGTGGGTTAGACCCCTTGATCAAAGGCTCGGAGAAGGGCTCTCCTAAGAAAACCACATGATCCAGTTTGGCCACCGGGACAGTATCTCAGCTCACGCAAACTTAACGATTTGTGCGGTACACATATATTTTGGTGCCCCTTTTGTACCAATGTTTGTGTTGTTAAATAAATAAATAAATAAATAAATAAATAAATAATAATAATAATAGTGTTTATGTTGAAATCAGCCTTCTGGTGATCAGATTTCAACTAATAGTTGGTCGTCAATCATAATCAATGTAGAGCCTTGCACAGATGAACATCAGTCCAACTTGACATACTACATCAGCACAACGAGATGAAATCAGTAAGATGGATAAAAAAAGTTACAAGAATTGTAATAGCTATGGAAGAAAGATTAGACATTGAGAATATGATATGAGTGGAAGAAATGAGAAAATATGCACGGAAGAAACCAAGATTTCAGTAGAAGACAGATATAGTTCATCAGTACCACTATGACCGATTCTTTTTCATATCATTCGGCATCTCTAACAACTGATTTTGATTATTAAGCGAAACCAAGTTAGTCTGCATCTGCCAACATGACTTAATATAATAGTCAACGACTTGATGAAATAATCCCACGTTCCGAGACAGAAAAGAATGGAATGTGGAACAAACTTACAAATCAGTGATTGAATGTTAACTATCCTAACAATGAATATATTTTCCCTTCATTTGACTGAGAAATAACTGGGACAATATTCTGCTAATCAATAAGTACCATAGCAGAACTATATCAAAAGATGTTAATAGGTATCATTACCAAGATTTGATTTGATAATTTCGAATAAATTGAGCAATGGGTAGATTGCTATAAATAAATAATACATTTGTAATATCCCAATGAGTAGAAAAATCAGATTTTCTGACGTTTCGTGACTTAGTCTAAACCGTTTCTTTAGAGAATCAATAACCAAATTAAAATTAATCACATAATATTCTTGTTGTTTCTTTGTACTATTTAACTTACTTACTTACGCCTGTTACTCCTTGTGAAGGACCATAGGCCGCTCACCAGCATTCTCCATCTAACGCTGTACTGGGCAGTCCTTTCCAGCTCCTTCCAGTTGTTATTCATCTATTCCATATCTGCTTTTATTTCCCGACGTAATGTGTTCTTTGGCCTACCTCTTCTCCGCTTCCATTCAGGATTCCAAGTTAGGGCTTGCCTCGTGATGCAGTTTGACGATTTGCGTAGTGTATGTCCTATCCATTTCCATCGTCTTTTCCTAATTTCCTCTTCAGCTCAAAGCTGATTTGTTCTCTCCCACAAAAGGCTGTTGCTGATGCTATCCGCCCAATGGATGTTGAGTATCTTGCGTAGACAGCTATTTATAAATACTTGCACCTTCTTGATGATGGTTGTTGTAGTTCTCCAAGTTTCAGCTCCATACAGTAGAACTGCCTTGACATTCGAATTTGAGGACCTTGGTTTTCTCCTTGTGTATGGTGAGGCCTACTGATGCAGAGACTGCTGCTACACTGGCTGTCTTTATCTGCATTTGTTCATGCGTATGTGATAGGAAGGCTAGATCGTCTGCGAAGTCTAAATCGTCTAATTGATTCTGAGTTGTCCATTGTATTCCGTGTTTTCCCTCAGATGTCGAGGTCTTCATAATCCAGTCGACCACCAGAAGAAAGAGGAAGGGAGAGAGTGAATAGCCTTGTCTGACTCCGGTCCTTACTTGCAATGCATCTGTCAGATGTCCTCCGTGCACTACTTTGCACTGTAGTCCGTCGTATGAGTTCCGGATAATGTTGACAATCTTCTCAGGAAGTCCGTAGTGTCGAAGAAGTTTCCATAATGTCCTCCTATCTACACTGTCGAATGCCTTTTCATAATCAATGAAGTTGATGTATAGTGATGAGTTCCACTCAACTGATTGTTCGACGATGGTCCGTAGTGTTGCAATTTGGTCTGTGCACGACCGATCCTTACGGAATCCAGCTTGTTGATCTCGAAGTTGGGCGTCTACTGCATCTTTCATCCGGTTCAGCAACACTCTGTTGAAGACTTTCCCTGGTGGTGGAGAAGATTTGTAGCTCAGGTGTATGATTTTGATGGAGTTTTGTTCTCTGAGCTGGATGGTTTGGTCGTGGAGCTTTCATCGTTCTTCTGAACGACATCATCAGCACAAACTTCAGATAGAAGTGAAGTGTTCGAATTTCTCCATATGTGTTTCACAGCTTGTTCTGTGCACCTCGATGTTGATTGGCTCTTGTTGACCTTAAGTTTAACATTGTTTACTTCTTTGTTTTGGTTGTGTCTCCCATTGGTTTGATTTTTGTTCCCATATTTATGCATGGTTTTCCTGACTGGTTGATAAATTGGATTGATTTCAATATGCTTGTTGATTGCTGATTGACCTGAGTGCCAGGCTTCTAGAAATTCTCTGGTGTTTTTGGAGTTTCCTCTGTCTTAGACAGAGGATGATGTCGTTCAGAACGATGAAAGCTCCACGACCAAACCATCCAGCTCAGAGAACAAAACTCCATCAAAAACTTTCCCTGGTATTGACAGTAGTGTAATGCCTCTGTAGTTTTCACATTTGCTCAGATCTCCTTTCTTTGGAATTTGACGAGGTGTCCTTCTTTCCAGTTCATCGGCACTTGTTCCTCCTCCCAAATCTTTTTGAATAGAAGGTGAAGCATGTTTGTAGTTTCTTCGATGTCAGACTTCAGTGCTTCAGCTGATATGTTGTCGGGTCCTGCTGCTTTCCCGTTCTTGATTTATCTGACGGCCATTCTAATTTCTTCCGTCGTTGGTGGATTGACATCTATAGGAAGATCTATGTGTGCTGCTTCGATGTCCGGTGGATTCATTGGAGTCGGCCTATTCAGGAGTTCCTCGAAGTATTCTACCCATCTCTTTCGCTGTTGTTGAATTTCAGTGTGTACTATTTAAACTTGGATTAATTTTAATTCGGTTATTTATTCTCTGAAGAAATAGCTTACGCTAATTCATGAAACGTCAGAAAACCTAATTTTTCTACTCATTGGGATATTACAAATATCTTATACATTTACTATAGATGTTAAGTTTCGTTGAACTGACTACACACTCCAATTAACTCAATAGATTTATGTAAAGGATGAAATCAATTATTATGACAAGATTATGTATCAATTAATGTTTTTTACTTTGTAAAACTGATTCGAATATTTATTAGCTAAAGCTTATCGATTTCAAAAGAAAATTTTAAAACAACGCCTGATCAACCAGTTACTGATGACTTCATTTCGTCACAAATCGATATCCAATAGGCTGGGTTAGTGTGTATAGACACATCACAGTACCAACATATCATCGTAAATTTAAACGGTAAATGCAAAATTACAAACGAGACATGCATTTGAAAGAAATCGATTATGTATCCAGTTAAGATCTAAGTCTACATGTCCATGTTTAGGCCAGAAAGACAATTATATATATATATATATATATATATATATATATATATATATATATATATATATATATATATATATATATTTCTACACTTCTCATCTGGCCAGTGGGTTTGGTGTATCGTAGGATGTGTATGCAGTAACTGGGTCGGATATCAAAACACAATACGCCTAGAAAACACCGAGCATAATGAGAATCTGTTTCGTTTTATTCTAAAATTTCTTAGCGCCATACTATCTTCACACAACACCATAGGTAGGACAAGTCCGGGAATTTTTTAGGACTTATTGTAACAAGGGTAGGAGATAGTCAAATCATGAAGTCTGGATCCATCGACTTAATGTTTCACATTAGAGTGAAAATATGAAAAAAGGTATTTCTCAGACTTTTTAGTGGAATATCGTGACTAAGGAAATCAAGCAAGTCGGATATAACTCAATAGCTTAACTTTGATGACAAACTGTAGAGTGGTGAGGATGATATTCGCGTTATATAATCACAAATTAACTCTCTGAGATACTTCTTACTTTTCAATGGATTCGTTAGCTGACATCAGTTCCTAATGAAAATTATCTCTAAAAATATATACATATACATATGTTCCAGAAATCACTTCAACTAATAAAAAAATTGAAGTGATTTCAAAACAAAAGTATCAAATGCAGAAAATAATTGGGAAGGAAAACAAATAAACCACTCACTGTCAAAAACATAGCTACATTAGGTAATGCTTGTTTTTCCCATACAGTATGTAGATCACTACACATAATTGGAGGTGTAATAGGGATACCTAAAGTGTAGAAAAAAAGTATATATAAATATAGATACAGAAAATGAGTGAGTAACGTTAACACTATCAATTTCATACAATCCACTATATTCACTGATATCAGAAGTTATAAGTGGATTAGCCAACTATGAATTTGGTTTACACAATTAACTGTTTTCTCACATTATTAAATATTTCGATACAATTATTTATCTGAATGGAATAAATGGGATTGATAAAAATCTCTGCTTTTATTGACCAAGGAGTGATGATGATGATGACGGATAGAGCAAAGTTGTAATCAGCTAATTTCAACATATGTCTTATACATTTTTTTGCATTTTTCGAAAACTCTCTATCAATTATGTTTGAGAATTTTGTTTAATGACGTAACATTCATTTATTTTACAATAGACTAACACATGTAAAATGTAGCTACAAATACGATTTTATAGCATAAAAGAATGGCACCGTTGATTAACTCTTTATTGGATTGAAAATCAATGCAATATTTCCCAAGAATTCAACTGAAATTATTCATGAAAAAGAATTTTTCTTGATCACTATTCTGAATATTGAAAATCGGGTACTTTTAAAATTAAATCTGGCGGCCTGAAACTCCTATACCTAGTCGATGATTCATATAGACAGTATAGAATTCTTTATTAATCTTCACACAGATTTCAAGATGTTTCATCATTGGTCTTTTTGGAAACTGGTTATAGAATTATTGTTTTATTGTACAATTATCTGAGTTTGTAATCATTACGCTAGCTTTCTATAAATGAACCCAAATCAGCAACTTGAGAAAGAAGATCAACAGTGAAAAAGAAGCGTTGTTGACCGAAACGAGAATATATATATATAAAGCCATATTTTCAACTAATGTTGTGTTCTTCCCCACAAAATGAAGCTAAATCTTGGTCAATCGCGTCTGCTTATCTTTTCCAATAGAATCCCAGTTGATTGAATAACAGCTACTTAGATTAGCACTAAAAGGATTGAATAGACATGAAACTAGTTACTACTCAGAGCCCAAGCATCTATACAATATCTCAGTTCTACAGGTCAATCGATAATATCTCAGTGGTAGTGTCTCAAACTGGGTGATACAGGATTAAATCCTCCAGAGAGTACTAGTTCTCTAGAAGTTAAAAGTACACCTTACTGATGAGTGCCAAACAGAATGAAACTTAGGTCGAGCCGGGTAGGATCTTGTTGATTACCTCCAGCTACCACCAAATGAAACAATAATTCTCATATATACATATATCATCATTCTAAGGAAAACGTTACTTTTCGCTATTGAATCATTTAATGACATTTGTTTCTTTCGTAGATCGACAATATTCAATACGAATGAATCTAGTTTTATACACCAAGCTAATAATTGTCCATGAGTAGTACCGGCTAATAAGTATTGATTATTATCATTGGGATGAATAAATGCTGAAGTGAAACAACCAAACTTTTGTACATTCATGGTAGTATTTATTGAATTTACATGATGATGATCAACTACACCTTTGTCTATTTTTGTTATAATATTGCCACTGTTGTTAACATCACAAGGCTATACAAATCATAAATAATGTAAAATAGCAAAAAAAGAATAAAAGATTTAGTGAAAAAATGGCGAAAAAATATTGACAAAACAAAATGGCCTAGTTGAAAGAGATATGTAGAGATTAATTTGAGTTGTGGGTTGTATCCATTATCAGTTGGGGTACCATTGATAACTGGGGGTGCTGGATAACTCTTTTCTATTAGTAGGCACTTATCAGGAATGTGTGCAACGAGACACGAAGGTTATGAGTTCAACCATTAGATGAATTGTGGTGCTCAGTATTGAGGAATCTAGTACCAGTACGAAACAATTCCCACTAGCTTTCAGTGATACTCCAGCTGAAATGGCTAGATATTAACACCATCGTAATCCGGCTCAGTGGTATAGAGGTTAAGTGTTCGTATGAGAACGAAGGTCCTTGGCCCAGATTCCGTGTACGGGATAGTGGATGTGCACTGCTAAGGAGTCCTATACTAGGACGAAATGGCCGTTCAGTGCTTCCGGGTTTTCAAAGGTAGTCTAACATTGATTGGTTCATGACCCCGGAAAAAAACCAACAATTACCACAACACTTTACTTATTCTTATTGCGTAATTTGATAATTCTAATGAATGGTATTTCAGTATCTATTTTTTCAAGCTGTTGTTCTATTTCACACTATGAAACATTGGTTCAAGCCTTTATTATTATCTGAAAGTTTTTCACAATGACAAATAGTACACCTATCATCACACTATCAATTAGTACTTTTTACTGATGTAATCTATTTCGCTATTACCAATGACTCAAAAACTGCCTTCATTGGTTTAATATATTAAAGTAAAGCCTGATGAGGATCTGATTGAAAACAACGTTGTTCGGCGACATATATTGTTCTAATTCATTCTATTCTGCAAATTTTATAATCCTTGCTCCATAATAATCAAATTCTCTTACCAATACTATTACTACTACTACTACTAACAATAATAATAATAATAATAATAATATATGGCCAGAATAGATAAACATAGGAAAAGAGTTTCAAGCAAAAAATGACTATCCAATTAATAAAATACATGTACACTTACAGAGAAAGTGGCTATATGCACCGGAACATCTGTGCAAATACAATCTCTTGAATAGATAATAAGGCTAAATAAAGAGAAAATACAGAAGAAAATGTGAATTATAGTTTAGATAGAATATTTTTGATACATTTCATGTCATGTTATATGTAACATAGAGGACCTGATATATATATATATATATATATATATATATATATATATATATATATATATATATATATATATATATATATATATATATATATATATATATATATATATATATAGGTTCAATTCCCCTGCGCTTAATTGAAGACAAATCCAAGAGTAGTAGAAGTTGTATTAACAGTATCCGTAGTTGATGTATCACGAGTGAAACTAAAGAAATGATGACTCCTGGAACTATTTTGTGGATTATTATTATTAAATACATTATTACTCATTGTTGTGTAGCTGTTATCTTTCGATAATCATAAATGTGAGTCAGTTACCTACCGGAAACTCTAGAAGATGGTCGTGCAATATAGTGATTGAATTTGGACATTAGCATTATCGGAAGCCGGTTTGGTGATCTAGAAGTTAAAGGTCAACGAGCGAGACCGAAGTTCCCGTGTACGGATCCCGTGTGCGGGATCGTGCATGAGCCCTGCCGAGAAATCCTATACTAGGACAAAAATGGGCATCCAGTCTTCTGTCAAGAGAACACTATTCTCATACGTTACAAATTTATTAGTACAGGAGGATTTGTGGAGATTTTAGAACGTTCATAATTTAAATTGTAATCTGATCTTAGTTAGTCCATCACTAAAAACGAGGAAGCAATGAATAGTTATTTCATCTCAGCATAGATCTCCTAAGAAGTGAGTATCCATGACCATTCAATCGTTAATTGAACACGGAACCCTCGGTGACGCGAGCAAGAGCTTAAATTGTAGACAACTGAGCCTGTATCCAGTGTTACACATATCAAACTTCAATTAAATCATGAGTAGCCATCACGCATAGTATGTGGTGGATGAGTGTTTCGCATACGATATGGTTGAACTACTCTGGTCATGACTCCAGGAGGTGTATCTTGAAGCTAGTCACTAGTGAGTACATAACCATTATAGGTATAAGGATTTGTGGTAACTAAAAGTTTCATAGTTTAAACCACAAACTGTTCTTAGCTAGATTCACGGATGAAGGATCGTGTATACATACTGCTGAGGAGTCCCATATTAAGATGAAGCGGCCGTTCACTGCTTCTAGGTTTTTAATGGTGGTCTCGCTAAAATCAGTTCGTGATCTATGCTCCAAAAAAAATTATTTCGTTTGTACGCCCACGCGCACAAAACAACATACCTTTTTGGCAAACTATACAAATAAATAAATCCCGACTGGCCATAGACACTTATCACATTAGATTGAATGAAACTCCCACCAACTAATACATCATTTGTTGGATTTGATACTGTACAATTAATGGAACAAGTCATTGCATCGAAAAGCTGAACAAGAAAACACAGGAAAAGTAAATATCATAGTTGACTCCGAAAAAATGCTACAAGTATGTCAGTCAGTCAATCAATTAATCAGTCATACGTAATGTAGAACCAGGAATATATAGTGGCCCTTATATACTTGAAATATAATACACAAAATCAAATTTACAATCGCATCATGTAATGGTATGGCTGATTGGTAAAAACTGTCATGTGAACCCATTCAACCTTTGCATGGATAATTGTGACATTGTTGGTCACATCGTGCTTCTCTCTCTCTCTTCCTTTTTTTGCGTTACTCTGCCTATTTTCATACACATAAGCTGATTCCGAACTAACCAAACGTTTCTTAACCCAGTACCATCGCGTTATCCACTTAGCTACTGAGTCCCAGAGTGAACATCAACTCTGAAATACAAGTACATCGAGCTGACGAGTCCTAAATAGGACGAAACGCGCGTCCTCCATTCCACAGCTAGCCACTATTCATCTTTGCTTATAAAGCTTGTGAATTAAGGCAATATCGAGGCAGTCCGCACAGGATGCATATATGCCAATAAGAGACTAACCAAACGCAGTCCTAAATAAAAATGGGAAGATACAAGTAAACAACATCAGGTGAGTTTACAATGAGAAAAGTTATGAAATAGTGTGTGCTGATTAGTTCAACAACCACAAAACAGATTCTTCAGTAATGTTACTCTGACCACTATGTAACAGTATGAATTAAAATCTTCCGAAGCAGAAAAATTGCTAAACAAAAGTATGCAGTATAGGAATAAACCTAAAAGAACCACGGTAAATTCTAGTCACTTGGTAGCGAATCATTAAAAAAACAGCTTCGTATGTGAAGGGTTGATGGAAAATCAATAATAAACAGATATTACATAGTTAATGAATTAATTGAAACTTCTACAGATTTTTCTTTCTGTGAATCAAGAAAACAACGACATATACAACCGTTCATATGGATGCAGAATATTGATCCTACCAAAATAGATTATTAGTTCATACATCTATTATTCCTGGACAAGGATTAAAAGTTATGACTGTAGCGTCAGTTGCTATGTCAACCCCACATAGCTTATTCTAGCTTCTGGACAGGCCAATATATCCATTATTCTTGAGTCACATTTTGAACTTGTCACTTATTCGCTCATCAACATTTACTGTTTTTATGTACGCGTATGTGTGTACATTTCGTATCTTGCTTATCACATATCTGTAACTTATTTTTGTCTGATTATAAATATCAATTAACGCTTGATTAAATCGAGTTGGCTAACATGTCTTCTCCAATCCGTTTCGCTACCTTCGCTCCGTCTCTATGATTGTTCTGATCAACGATTGTACAAAATATACGTATTTAAAACTTTATTCTCGTATTTGACTTATTTTAATTCTGTTATTCACTAACGCGAGTTAAGTTGATAATTATATACGAGGATTGGCGACATGCATATTCCAATGAAAATTATTCATACGATCAAAATGGAGTCGGATATTCCAGGGCCACTAAAGAATTATAAGGATTTGAGGTTACAGTTAAGATTAGGAATTAAGGTTTAAGGATTTAGGATTAAGAGTATTGGAGTTGGTATCAGAATAAAGGGTTAATACTTAAGTATAGAGTTAATTTGCTTATTATATACAATCTAAGTATAAAGTATCAGATATTTATTACGTTTAACACTCATTTTCGCACTGTGAAAACAAACAATAATTTTTCATTTTAATTTTAAACATTTTGAGTACTATACAAAGGTATCTTCATCGTTAGTTTTACGTGATTTAAAGAAAATTGTTATACATTTTTGAATTTCTATTCACTGTCCGTTGAAGAGATTACACTGATTGACATAAGATTTTAAGTAACAATTTAACTGGTATCCAGCTTACTCACCATTCCAAAATAACAAGAATGAGAAATTGAAACAAATCCCCTATTTTATAATGAAGTTTAAAAGATTGTAGGTAATCTAAAGCGAACGGGAGAAGCGTGCCCTCATGGACTGGCCTAAGAGATCTTTAAAGATGGTAGTTCACTTCTAGTAATTAAACTGACTGAAATACCAGGCAGAATTTAGATGGACGTAGTACCATCTAACTGGTCTCAATTACTGATGGTCCCAATTTATAAAGAAATCTTGTTGAAACCAAAGATAAATCAGTTTGACTAATATAGTATCTAAAATATTGGCCTCTATAATTATCCGTCTCTTAACTAGGGCTCGAGAAGAGCAAACCAGGGTGATTTAAGACCTGGATATGAACTTCTAGGCCAAACATTTGTCCTTAATCAAGTTCCGAAATACAGACATACATTCCGATGTCCGACTATAGTTGCATTTTCTGACTGTAGGGCAGCATTTGACACTGCTGACCGAGAAGTTATCTTTGATAGTATCCGGATTTTCAGGCATACCAAACAAGTATATTAACATTGTATAAGCGCTTTACCCGAACAGGACCCGGTCGAGTTAGAGCTTGATGGCACAATCACAAGAATTAACAACCTCAAGTGTTTGTCCGCTTTCTCCCTTTTCATTACATGTTGTCGAAGACATTCTTTTTGTTACACTAGGAGCTTGCAGTATCTAACTTACTACAAAATATTACTGTGAAATTGATTCTATTTAACTAAATTTTAATATATCAGTTGCACTTAATATCCGTATTTGGTTTGTTTATCATATTAACCTTGGACATTCAGTGAACAACGTAGCCAACAATATATGACTAGTTGTATAGGAGGACTTGCGGAGATTGTAGAGAGTTCATCGTTTAGATCACGAACTGATATCAACTAGATCACTATCGAAAGCCAAGAAGCACTGGACGGCCATTTCGTCCTGGTGTGCGACTCCTCAGAATTGGACATCCGCAACCCGGTAATAGGGAATCGAACCCCGAACCCTCTGTCTCGCGTACGAACGCATTACCTCTAGACCACTGACTCAATGTTTAAACAGAGTTAATGTTCAACTCCAATCAATTTATGTGAATACATGCTAATGAGGAGTCCCATACTGGAACTAGACAGCCGTCCAGTGCTCCTAGTTTTTTAAATAATGCTTTAGCTAAGACTAAGTAGTGATCTGAGCTATCAAAATAAGTGTATCTGTTAGCTCTAATTTTAGATGTTCTTTCAATTTGTTGCAATTTATCTTAAACCCAGTTTACATAATTACCTTTAATATTTATAATATTTGAATGATTTTTTTAAAAAAAGTAAAAGTTATTCACCAAGTACAGATTTTATGTCATCATTGGGTGACGCAATTTATATTGCAGTTAGTGATACTGTGGTATGTGCTACTGATGTCGACAGATATGAGTAGTATGTATTATCAATCGAAAATGAAATGCCTGGCGGCAGAAGGTTAAGAAGATCTATGGAAAGACGAGAACAAAGTGATTGGTGTGGAAACGAAGGAACAGCCAAGTCTGAGACAATTGACAATGAAGAATTTAATGTATGGTTCCCAAATTTTACCAAAAATTCTGTAATTTTGTGTCCAAATACATTTGATTTTCCCCACTGGTGTTCTCGTTCACTACAATACTCTACTCAGTTGTTTGTAACGCTGAGTGATATAGATCAAAATTGGACACAATCACGCAAATTCACTCACTATTTATCTCTCAATAGATCTAGAGTTTCAGTATTCTTTCAGAAATAACATTCATTCTGTCTTCTCGAACCATATTCCCAAAACGTATTCTTTCTTATTATCATTGCTACTACATTATTTCGACTTGCTTCCGATTCATCTTGTTAACTTCGTTTTGTTGTGTTAATGTAGTACTGGGTTTTGAGGAACACTTTGATTGTAAGAACTAGCAATACTACTCAAACATAGATTTAGGCTCAAACTTATAACTTACTACTGACTGAAAGTCGAATGTCATAAGCACTGAGTTACCATTCCATATTACACATGAACAGACACAAATACACACAGACATTCCATAAAACTATAATACTTACTTGCCATCCATTGGAACAAACTAATAATATACATCGTGGTGTTTGTGGACAACAATCAACTTGTATTATGGTAGATGGAGAATTGATAGATCGTGATTCGTGTTCATATTTTGCTTCACCCTAAAATTATTGAAAGTGAAAAAAGTTCGTAAACACCGAAATAGTAGAACAGCAAAAAGATTGATGAAATCACCCTTGGAAATACGATTACAATAGTTCAGTTCGAAAGGTGCTATTTGGCACTCATCAGCAAGAGTTACCTGTAAACTTGGGGAAACGGATGCTCTCCGGTGGATTATATCAAGTGACGCTCGGCTTCACTGCCACATTGAAGTAACTAGAACTATTTCGTAATAAGTCTTTCTTCTCCAGTTCCTTGTTTTAAAATGAAAATTAATGTATAAATGCGAAATCGGTGTCACACTAAATACAACTATAATTAAATTTGGAAATAACAAGTCTGGATAGATAGCTAAACTGAACAGAGAGGGGGTTACATAGGTATAGCACTAAGTACAAAACAGAATACTCTGTTTAAGCAATAATGATTAGCGAAGGATCATTCGAAGGACTAACTTTGACTATTTTGCTAAAGAAAGCTGTTACTACTATAACTATTACTATTGTTATTACGATCACTATTGCTAGCTCATGACAAAAATTGAACTAACCTTCACAAACAAATAAAATAACAAGCTAAGCAATAGAATTATGGTGAGAGGTTGTGATCAGTGGATTTCAACAAATGTTAGGTGTGAGGCAGTTACGGACAAACGCTGTTCGAAGATGGTTGCTCAATATCGTGAATCGATTGATGATGGAAATGAAAATTATTGGATGCCAACTAATAACTGATCTGGACGCACACTGAAACCTGGAGGTCCTGAGTTAGATCTCCAGTGAGGTCGTAGATGATATATATATATATATATATATATATATATATATATATATATATATATATATATATATATATATATAAACAATCAGATTATTTAAACCAAGTATATACATCCAGTTGTGGTTCAGTGGTAATATTATTTGCATTTCAACCGTACGATTTATGAGGAAGATCGATGGTATCTGATGAATTAGCTTAGTGAGCTCTGTAGAGAAATAGTTATAACTAACTAATCAGTTCCATTTCAACAGATCAGTGTTCTTAGATATTTCCATAAGATATCAAAATTTTTTGTGAACTTATTTTGTATATATTGGGTGTTTACTATGTAGGACATAAACAAACGCATTTTTTACACTTATACACTTATTCATCTGTTGCATTCAAATTTACCCTTGTTTTATATAATTTGGTAGTTGGGGGCAATTGATGGAAAGCATCAACTGACGTATTTCTCGTATTACTTGACGCTCATCAGTAAAGCGTACCTGTAGTCCTGAAGAAACTGATGTTGCTCGTGAAATTTGTACCAGTTAGTCAACTTAACAGCCTGAAACTACTTAAACAAGTAGTCATATTGTGGCATTATCAATCAGATTTGATAGGCACTAAAGAAAAAATAAACGTGAAATTGGTCACTTTTTCATGATAAGCGTAAAGCAAACCAGTTATTGGTTGGTTCTATGATCAACTGCTCCTATTATTTGCGATAACAAAAGGATTTGGTTGAGAAAGACTTGTTAGTTGGTTTTTAAAAGCAACTGGACATTTTACAAAATACATTGAAACTACTCATGAGCAATGTGATGTATAAGATGAAATTTATCTACAATATTTCCTGATAGACCTGTACCAAAAAAATAAAATATTGATATGAGGAAGCTGCTCAACAATGTCATTAGATAACGGTCACATTTGATTGCGAACTCAATAAATTCGAGAAATCAAGGACTTCTGGATTACAAACCTTACACGCTCTGAGAAATAACTTGAAGATATTGTGTGTTTAGAGCATTAAGTATGTGTGGAATTCTTTACCTGAGTTCAGAATCCCTATTTACTAATATTATTACTGTCCAAACTAACCCACTAATCGTGGTTTTAAGTTTCATAAGTTGAATTTTCGTATTCACACACCGAAATCTGAGTAAACCTGAAACTTGTGTTCTATTGAAATGACCTTCGCTTTCCTCTATTGCAACACATAACTTTGTTCTTTACTTTTCGATGTCACCTGCAGGTCATACACACAAAAAAGTGTTATAAAGAAGTTATCCCTTCAATTGAGGCATAAGGATAACTCCCTTATGAATATACCAGCACTCTCTTCTCACTTTAACATTCAGTGGTGCATCTTTAGATTTTTATGTAGTGACTCGGTCGCTTTACAATAATTCAGTTTTTGATTGAGATCATGAATCGATTGATGTTAGACCACAGAAACTTAATAATCTCCACAACCCCATACTGATAATTACAATAATTACGCAATATTCATCTTTGTGATAGTATTATCAACCCCCCCTAACTACAGAACATAGCAGTCAACTGATAAACACTGTAATAAGTGATATGTTAGCTCGACCAATCCCGACGAAATAGTATGATGAATACAGCGATAAATCACACGACCCCATTGTAGACCTTCACATAAATAAATAATATGTATTATCACATGATCAATTTGTATATAATACTAAACTCAAAATAAGACAAAGTAGACAAAAGGATAAATGCTTAGCTTGACCAATATTCTCCTTTTATTTAAAACAAAAAATTTGTAATAACAGTAAATAAGAAACGCCTGATGGTACTTAAATTCCTGCCAAGTTACATGAATTAAACTATGGGAGTTTTTGAGGGTAGGGCTATGTACTGAATTCGCTCGTCGATTCTAGAAGTTGGTGATAGTTATTTGTTAAAGTGGAGTTTCGTTCTTGGTTGGCGCTCACCACTTTCAAGGTGACATAATAACTCGCTTACGAAAGACGAAGAATAAACCATGAAATATGAATTCTCTGTTTGATTCCGATATTAAATTTAGACCGTCCCCGTTCGAACAGAATAGGTTACGGATATTCAGAAAGACAAGCAGACAGACAGACAATAAGAGGTGTGGCATTGAGAAAGGCTTCATAGCTTAGTCAGTCTTACCAAGCGTGACTCAACACTTATAAGCATGAAAGTTACAACCAAGTATATAAACCCAAACGCATTATCATATACATATGTTGAAGGTCGCATACACAAATGACGAAACGACTTGGAATATCAAAACAATTCATCTGTTCAAAAGTTAGGATAAATTGCGTAGGCACGTAACAGTCATGATTGCTACAAGTTGTTCATGTTAATTCGAAGGATGGTATGTTAAGTCTAAATAAGCAAACGTAGCAAATCATTACTTTGTATCATCCATTATCCATAGACAAAATATTTCGAGACAAAGAGATCTTGTTGAACACGGGACCTAACTGTAGCCGTTACGTTGATCTGGTAGTCAGGTTTACATACTGTAATGACATAACACTTAGCTGTATCAGCTGGAACGCTTGTTCACTTACGTCCTACCATCTGACCCAAGTTGGTTGGAAAGTGGCAAAACTGAAAGCAACAAACTTAAAGTTCGAGGACGAAGCTGTACTGCCAACTGTACTAAGATATGATGACGGTAAAGTGTTTACTTCAGACAACCACCATCTGCAGAAATGCTGTCTTTTCACAAAGGATAGGGGTCAGCCATTAAAATAATTATCTACACAAAGTCAGTGTGTGATTAGCCTTAACCAGTTATCCCTTGGATTTTGAGACCACATTCTGTGGTCGACAAAACTACTATTAAATTGGTTTTGGCTTCAGGTATCTCGAGAAGCACCTTTCCACAGTATGAATAACTGAGAAAAAACAACTTCTCTCAAACCTCCAACAGCCCTCAAAACCACCCTGGTCACAATTCGATCCCTTCAACACAAGAAGTGTTCGCTTTTTATCAGTATCGGATTGTGGAGATTGTTGGATTTTATTGAGAACACGAACTGATTTAAGTTAGACGACCATTGAGAACCTACAAGGACTGGATACCCACTTCGTCCTAGTGTGTGAGTCAGCTGTGCACACCAACAATCCCGCCTCTGGGTATATGAGCCAGAAAATTTAAGTCTCGTAAACGAATGAGTAACCTCTAGACGATTGAGCCGGTATCCACTGGTGTACAAGTCTCACCTCGATCGATCCGGTATTGCGTGATCTTCGGTTATTGTTACACACTCCAATATAGTTTGTAATTATTATATGTGTCTGAGGAGTTATTTATATCAATAAAGTGATATGATGTTGTCTAATAAGAAAATTAAGAAGTGAGAAACCTGCAAAATGCTTTATAACAGGGTTATTGAAGGCTCTTTGAAAACAAGAAAGTGATCTATCTCTCACTCTCCCTCCATTTTGGTCCTTATTTCACCAAAGTAATATAGCTTCTATGTTTAGTGAATGAAGAGTGAAGAGTACACTACTTACTAACAATCACTTGTTAAATAAAATCTTATTGAACCATACATATGGGTATCATACATATTCAGATATCAAATAAATGGTATTTTTTTCAGGAACTTCATGAACGAATGCGTGTCCATATATCTGACTGATACTAATACCAGTAAGAATGTATTCTCTTTGGCTTTAAGTCACACTTTTCGTATCAAGGCTAGTGATACGGATTGGATACTCAAACCGAAGTAGGTGGAGCGGCGTTTAAACCCACAAACTACTGATTGAAGGTCAACTTGTTTGACCAATAGGCAACCGTTCAACAATTTATTACAATAAACGAGGGGTCAGGGTTCAATAAAACAAGAACACAACGACTTACTTGTGTTTCTTCACCGTCCAGCGTCCATAATATAGCTAGATTGGAGTATGAAAGACCTAAAACAATTTCGTCTAGACACAAAAAAGAGACAAACAAAAGGATTCAAAGATCACTGAAGGTGAAAATGTAGCTTATTGCATTCGAAAATTTAAACAACCTCGGTAAGATTCCACATATGGTTATGTGTACGTTTATCACCGGAATACCCTGGTACGCATCCCCCGAAGTTGCTCAACTCTCTTGTTGATTAGACCCTTAGGTCAAATGCTCGGAGACTGGCTCCCTGATAAAACCGCCTGCTCTGGTTTGAGCACCCAGAGAGTATACCAGCTCACACACAAACTTAATGATTTGTGTGGCACATACATATTTTGGTGTCCCTTTTTACCAATGTTTATGTTTTTAAATAAACAATAAATAATGTGTGTATGGATTATCAAAAAAACATTACCCCAGTGCTTCCTGATAAGTTTCTGGTAGTTCTGTAGTTGAAGTCTCTTTGTGATTAAAATTATTCCTCAACGTGTACAAAAAGAATCTCAACTAAAAGTGACCTTAGTAAATAAGTACTTTTAAAATGAAATGTATGTATTTCAGTTTGAAATGTTATCACGCTACCCCCGTGTATGAAGTTTGTAAACTTCACAAAATGCTTAACTGCATTACATGACCCAACTACCAGGTAAAAAAAACCTTACCACAAATAGTGGTAACAATGATGCTGGAGAACTCCAAAAGCTAGAACTTCAATATGTCATGGTAACATTTGTAGAAGGCTTGGGTCGACAGTAAATTTTTAACATTATCAACTAATAAACTTGCAAATTTGTCTCTGGTCTTTGGTAGCAATTAGTGTGTTTTGGTTCAAGTTGGGTAACCTGTCGGCATAGACAGTTGCAAGTTTTTTTTCGTGATGAAAACTTGTTGACATACCTAATTCAGGAAGATTAGTTCGAACTTTTTAAAAGCTCATTTGAAAAGAAGCTACTTCATACTTTACTGAAGGAGTAAATACAGATGTCTAATAAAACGCAGGTTTTTTCAGAACACTGATCATACAATCACGTTGGTTATTTTAAAGAATTCCTTACTATCTCTGTGTAATCTTTTTGAAAGAAGATGGATTCTTACCACTAATTCCACAATTAAGGAAATATATGATTACTCTCCAAGTAGATAATTCAAAATACTCAGTATATTTTGAATAAATCCCATGGCAGCAGTGTGAAAAATCAACAATCACAAGCAAACGGACAGATAGACATGACCAGCATAGAGTCTGGGCACAGATATGCGTTGACCCAAGTTGTCGCGCTTAAATAGCACAACTATACGAAAATAACAGAAGAGGTCGAAATAATGTGCATCAACGATAGTGAGAAAGACTAGACCCTGGGAATACAGTTTGATAAGGTAGAATGGAAAGGTGTGTATGACGGAATATTGGAATTCAAGATCGAGAGGAGGACAATTAGTGAATGCGCCTGGGCCCCGAACGACTGACCACGGTTACTGCGCGGAGCCCAGCCAGGTAGTTTACATCGAACGTGGCCCAGGCCAAGGCTTGATGACCACATAGGCTGATGTCATGTTTTGATTTGACCACTCCTACACTCCTTTAAGCTGATTTCTACTCTACCTAACATCACTCTTCGAGGTAGGCTGTGTTGACGCATACGTGACACGTGTCCCAACCAACCAAGACGATGAAGATTGGCAACCTATACATTACAAACAAATGGCTACACTTCAGGAGTACGGATAACAATAAAATTGCAATCACTTGGTTGTTGAATACAATATTAGCTAAACAAGAATGACAGAGTATATATATTAAAAATTGTATTAAACTAAAGTATCCCAGTATTTTTTAATAGTTCAATATTCTGAAAATTTTCTATAAGACAATGAGATTCTTCTAACAGATAACTTCATATAATCTAGGTGTTTCTATGTTATACTTAGATACGTGCTTTCTGTCGTATCTGTACACTTTTTCTATCCGTCTAGTTTCGGTATTTGTTTATTTTTGGACTCAAACGTTAGGTGATTGGAGCTAATAGCTAGGAAGCGTCAACCAACTTAGATCTCGTGCCAGTTAGCATCAAATCATCGAATTTAAGAATCGTAATTGTTCATATTTCACAATTACCTTTCAATACTGTTAATTTTACACTATTTCTGCACGAAATTAACTTAACTCATGTAATAGATTTTGTTCAAAATAACATAATGTGTTGTATACGTAATACCATTTAATCAGAGTGCATGAAAATAATTTACTAACTACTCTTATTTAGAATTTGGTTAATAAAGATTCAATTTAAAAAAAAACTAATTAACACCCGGAAGAAAAAAATAAGAGTGAAACTTACGAGTACAAGGAGAATTTAATCGACTGAATGACAAAACAACTAATGCTAAAAACTACGACTACATTTGCATAAACTCGATTTCGTTTGAAAGAGAATAATAGGAATGTTACATTATATATATATATATATATATACTACTTTTATCATTAACATATAGCTAACTCATATAAAATGAGTATGGATCCTAAAAAAGCCGAGAAACACATTGGGTAGCAAATTGGACAGGATAATAACTAAGTGATAAGAACTAGATAACATTCACTAGCTTGAGTGTAAGATTCAGGTCCCTAATATGATGCACATCATTCTCTGCGTTACTCAAAGTATTTAGTTTAGTGTCATTTTGAACTTTTCATTCTTTGATCTCGTTAGTCTTCAGTGCATAATAAGTTAGTCATAAGTAAATCAGAATATATATGTATCAGTTGACGGTACCACACTGAAACAGCATAATGAAATGAAATCATCAAGACAAATACCAGAGTAGTAGAAGCACTAGCATTGTCAGTGGTAATCGGAAATATTAGGTGTAGACAGGATTCGAGAAGAACTAACTTATGGAACGAAAGGTACAGAATAATTCTGGAACTCAGGATCTAAGAAGAAACGAGTAGTAAATGCATTTACGCTACTGTAACCAGTCATAACCCATGACACAACGCCCCCCCCAACCACTAGTTACAATAACCGTGAGGATCCCAACATGATAGTCTAAACATGTTATGTCTTACAACCAACCAATACGCGTAGACGACCTTAAGCTGCCAATGAGCAGCAAGGACTTGGAAGACTGATACTCTGGACCTGACGGTTGGCTCAATACTAACTAGCCCCGAACGAAGAGGAAGAACGCAAGACCAATGCTCACCAGTTTAAGATTAATAAATTCCAGACAACCATTTATATAAATACAAGACCAAACCAATGGGGTAACAGTATTAACGCGGAATAACAACATTAATGGTGGGAAAACGGAGTCCTCGATATAGAAATAATTGGTTCTAGTTTATGAGCGGAAGTTCCTTTAGCAACAAACTACGGTTCAAATAAAAGTTTCAAACTAGGCTAATAAGAAAAAAGTAAAACCAAAATACTTAATAAAAATGCTATATATATATATATATATATATATATATATATATATATATATATATATATATATATATATATATATATATATAATTGTAGAAAAATAGCCTAGAAAGTTTTTACCTCATGATTAAATCGTCTCTTACAACGAAATCTACCAACACAACTCAATCCAATAGCTAGTGGTTCCATATACTGATGTTATATCTTGGTTTGGCTACCCTTAGCTTTCTTCCAGTCAGTCAGTCAGTAACAACGTAGAACTTCGTACGTACGTACATCAGTTCGAGTTGCCACACCACATTAGCACAGAGATGCAGTTGTCGATTCAAATCCCGTAGTGGTAGAGGTAATAAGAGTATAAGCAGTAATCGGGAAGATTAGGGTTTGGAGATGTTATTTAAAGAGTATAATCCAGTGAAATAAATTTGGAAAGAAAAAAAGGGACATGAAGGATTCAGAAGATTAGAATTTGGGAGAACACAGAGAGTGGATGCACCTGCGCCATTGCAAACGATTTTGAGCCATGTCATTCAGGGTCTCTAACCATCGGTTGCTATCATCTCGCGGTCCCCAACCAGGTAGTCTACACCTACCAACATGACTCAGTTCACTTGTCAGTGACTTCATGGACTTGTGCCATGTTTTGGTTTGGCCGCCCCTAGCTTTCTTCCAACCTACTCCTATACCACTGAACATAGCACGTCGAGGCAGTCGGTCGTTGGGCATACGTAACACGTGTCCCAGCCATCTCAACTGATGAAGTTTCACTACTTCATCAATTGATTTGCCATCCTTACCTAGTACCCGTTTCCTAACAACTGTGTTACTTACTCGATGGTCCCATGATATACGAGCAATGTTTCGAAGACACCTATGATCAAATACTAGTAACCTACGATATCCTCTACTCTTACCGGCCATGTTTCACTGCCATAAAGTAGGACGGAACGAACTGCTGCGCAGTAAACACGTCCTTTGGTTGATAGACGGATATCTCGCCTACGCCATAAATGACGCAAGTTGGCAAAAGCTAGTCGAGCCTTCTGTATCCGTGCTGAGATTTCGTCACACACTAAACCACAAGGGCTGATGAGACTTCCAAGATAAGTGAAGCGGTCGACACACTCAACTACTTCACTCCCTATCACTAGTTCGGGTGTCGATGTAACCCAATCCTGAAGCAACATTTTGCATTTCGAGGGAGAGAATCGCATCCCGAACATGCTTGCATTGTTGCTTAGAGTGGTCAGAAGACTCTGCATTTTGTCAGCGTCTTCACCAAATAAAACTATGTCATCAGCATATTCTAAGTCAACAAGTGAACCTCCCGGTAGAAGTTCAACCCCTGGAAATTTAGATGAGGAGAGTGTTATCTCTAAAAGTACGTCGACAAAGTTGAACAAGAATGGGGAGAGTGGACAGCCCTGACGAACACCACTTGAGGTAATCAATTCTGATGACAGTTCGCCATAAGCTCTCACTCTACCAGTTGTGTTCGAGTAGAGAGCCTTTATAAGGTTAATGTACTTCTTTGGTACTCCTTTCAGTGACAAACACTGCCATAGAACCTCACGATCAACAGAGTCGAATGCCGCCTTAAGGTCGAGAAATACTACCATTGTGGGGCGTCTGAATGTGTGTCTGTGTTCTAGAACCTGACGTAGTGTGAATATCTGATCTATACAACCACGTCCAGGTCGAAAACCAGCCTGGTTTTCTCTAGTCTGCTCTTCACGAGCTTTGTTAGGCGTCGAAGTATTATTGAAGCTAATATTTTAGACACTATATTAGTCAAACTGATTCCTCTGTGATTGTCACAAGAGGACTTTTGTCCTTTCTTATAGACTGGCACAATCAGTGATTGAGACCAGTCAGATGGGATTACGTCCAGTTCCCAAATTCTACCTAAGACCTCAGTTAATCTCATTGCTAATACTGGACCACCATCCTTAAAAATCTCAGGAGTAAACCTGTCAGGGCCTGCTGCTCTCCCTCGTTTCAGATTTCCTATGGCTTTTTCAACTTCGTAAAGGGACGGAGGACCTACATTAACTTGCCATTCAGGTTGACTGGAGATCGTGGGAAACCGAAGTGTGGCTGAAGGCCAGTTGAACTGATCCCTAAAGTGTTCTGCCCATCGATCCAATCTCCTGGATTGAGAATGAATAATATGTCCATCTTTCTCTGAGATTGTTTCGCTAACGGTCGGGTTCCTAATTCCGGTTTCCTTAACGAGTCTGAACAATTGTCTGCTATTACCTATTGCCGCTGCCTTTTCCATCTCTCTTGCTTTCGCTACCCACCACTGTTCGCGATCATTGCGTAGACTTCTTGTCAGCTTGCGCTTAAGCTGACTCCGCTCTTCATTATGTTCAGAGCCAGGTGGAATGAGTTTCCGAGCATCTATCAGTGCGATAGATGCTGCTGAGATCCAGTGTTGCTCCCTAACCTTCTGGTTTACCTTACTAGCAGATATCACTGCTGTTTCCACAGCTTTTCGGATATCATTCCATGCTGCATCGGGGTGGGCATCACATACATGGCTGCCTAACTGTTTTCCTAGTTGTTCCTGAAATATACTCTTAGCTTGACTATCATTAAGTAGGCCCTAAGAGGTTTCCTTGCAGCGTCTTTCCTACGTCCAGTAAGACGCAAGCAAATACGCGCTCGCACTAGAGCATGATCTGAATCTAGGCATGTGCTCCAGAATGAGCGACAGTCTTCTATCGAGCCCCTCCATCGGTGGCTGATAGCGATGTGATCTATTTGGGTCCAACGTTGGGACGAATTAGGGGGTCGCCATGTTAAAAGATGTTTTTCCTTATGCTTAAAGTTAGTATTTGCAAGGAACAGGCGGTTATCTGAGCATAGCTGCAACAGACGGTCGCCATTATCTGTTCTTTGAGCCACGACACCATAAGATCCACCTAGGTGTCTTTCCCTATCGCTTAGTTTACCTACTTGAGCATTAAAGTCACCGGCCACTATTACTACATCCGAGCGCCTAGCTTTTCGGAGAAGGTCCGAAAGCTTTCTGTAAAACTCATCTTTTACATCATCTGAGCTGCAGTCAGTGGGAGAATAGGCAGAGACGACGAAGAGGCAACGACGAGTGTCCCTATCTTTCCGGATTCTTACTGTTCCGTTCAGTCGGACAGCGCACAAACGACTGTCTACTGGGATCCACTCTAAGAGAGCTAGTTCTGCCCTAGGACTCAATGCTATACCTACGCCGGCGAGGCCACGGGAAGCAGAATCAGGGCTTCCAGATACACGAAGCGTAAATCGAGTCGGTTCTTTATTTTGGCATGGTGAGGTCAAATGAATGACGCTACTTGGATCCTGTATGCGCGTTTCGGAGACGCAGCACACATCGATGGCGCGAGATTCTAAAGTTTTAGCTAAGGAAGCCTGCTGTCCTATTTGGCAAAGTGTTCGTACGTTAAAAGCTCCTACGTGTAGTTTAGAGCGTGGTTTCAGGAGACCAGGAATGGCGTTCCACGTACTCGAATCGTTTGCCCTAGCGGTGCGAGGTGATAAAGAGACGTGAGGAGGGTTAGTCATGGAGATAAGAGAGGTATTAGGAGGTGTAGGAAGGATTTGAATGTGACCACCTTGGTCTCTTGTGCTGTTACGGGTATGAGGGCTGATGTCACTTCCCGGCTGCCCACACCGTGGAAGGGTATTTCTTGAGGAACCTGAAAAGGAAATTGGATTAGTGTTGGTCTTGACGACCTGGGAGCGTGACCGCAGAGCCCAAGGGACAACTGCTTGAGGCCGGTCGCGCACGGCCTTTTTGTGGAAGGTTTTTGACGTGTTAGCTCCGTTCTTCAAAGGGCCTTACCGCCGGAGACGGAAATCCGTGAGGTAAGGTGAGGTGTGACATTTTTAGGGTCGACCTTTTCTAACCCCACCCCTCCTTGTGGGAAGGCAGCATCGCTGTCATGCTGGTTGTCCGAAGGAAACACCTTACTGCTGTCACACCCCTCTACAGTCAGCAGTACGACTTCGCCCTCAGACCTTGAGTTGCTGCTTTTAGTCTTACCGTTCACCAATCGACCTGCCTGGCATGGTAGAACCTACAGGAACATATGTTCCAGCCAATATAGCTCGGTTGGGTCATCACGATAGGCAAGCCCGACCACCGCGTCAAGGTAGCAGCTTCGATCGGGCTTTCTTCCAACCTACTCTTATACCACCAAACATCGTGCGTCGAGGTAGGTAGTGGTCGCTTATTTGTACTTCTTATGCTTAGATTTCTACTGTTCTCATTACTTAACTATCATATTATTATCATTCTATTGATTTCCTCTCGCTGCTCTGAACTGAAAAGTAGCAACTAAGATTGGTGCACATTGGTGCTAGATCCTATAGTGGTAATGACTGACAACACTATGTATATATCTATACAGCAGTCAAAACATTATTTACCTAAGATGAATACATTAGTTTAAGTAGACTTAATGTTATTAACAAAAACAATAGTTTTTGAAATACTTTGCCGGAGATTTTAGCCATATTTCTCAAGTAAAGTGTCATTAATTAAAAAACTAAATATATAACTTGCAAAAATATGAAGAAATAAATTATAGCGCGACAAATTACAAGGACAACTATAATAACATCATGAACAAGAACTTACTTCGTTGATTTGGATGTGTGACAACAACAAATGAAGATATCCAATCTGGTTGTGAATTTGAAGCCAAAGTGAATAGAACAGCCAGTGAGGTAGCATGTAATACAACAATATGTGCATATTGACCACAACAAAACAGTAGACGATAGTCAAGGTAACATGTTTGATGTGACTGCAAGAACAAGAAGAGGATGAATGAACAAACAACTGATTGGGCAATAGAAAACTCCTTTGTTTGAATTTGATCACTAATCAATATTATCAGTAAGCATTTATTGAGGCTCAAGACTTAATGGGAGATAAAGAATGAATGCATCTGGACCGTTGTGACTTATTTTACACTATGACACTCAACGTCTCCAAACACTGACTGTAGTTACGGAGCGAACTCTAACTAATTAGTCTGTGTCTGACAACACGGCTCAAACTAACAGTCGATAACTTCATTGGCTAATGTTACGTCTTAGTTTGACCGCAAATAACTTTCTTACAACTTCTACTTCTCAGTCGATGTAGGAAGTGGTAATAATATGAAATGCATGTTTTAATCACCTTAGTTGATGAAAATTCACTACTTTATTAACCAATTTACCATCGTTAACTTCAGCATTATTATTACCAATTTATGTCTTTATTGAATATATGTTTGGTACAATATGGAGTTCTCAGTACAGCATACCATTGTTCACTCGATCTACCAAACGTATGCGAGCAGTATAATGAAGGTATCTACGATCAAATACTAATGACTTATTAATATCTATTATTTTTAAAGGTCACTTCTCAAAGCCATAAAATCGAACAGAACAAACAGCTCCATGATATATTCGTCCTTAGGTTGGCAGACGGATATCTCACCTACAACACATGTGACGCAAGTTGGCAAAAACCGTGTAGTGTCCTAAGCTCTAAACGAACAACTACTTAGATATTTATTGACAGTAACAAGTAGGTTAGTGAAACAAACAAAAATAGTAGATTATCGAAAAGTATAAGAAATAGATAATTACCAATAGTATAACAAACGAATAATAAAACAACACACACTTTGATATATGTATGGCGATAACGTGTGTCCATTTTGAATTCTAAGCATTTGCCGTCATTCCAATCCCAAACAGCCATTTCGCTAAAATAGTAGAATAATTACATAACAATAGTTATGAGGAGAAAGCGAATATAAAACTTAGATTCAGTAATCAAAACCATACAAATTATTCCAGTAATTAATTGTTGGTCGCAGGACAGATAACGGAGACCGTCTACTGCAACTGTGCACAGACCACAACCTGTTTCTGGCTAGCACTAGCTTTCGGCACAGTTATCGCCGATGTGCCACTTGGCGTCCTCCCTCTGTATCTCAAGTCTGGACTCAGATTGATCAAGTCGCGATCAGCTACCGCTAGCGTGGTTGTGTGCAAGACTGCCGCTCCTTTTGGAGTACGTATCTGGACTCTGACCATGCTTCGGTCTGCGCCAATCTTACCTTACTTTTCAGTGTCCAACGAAGTGACCGTCACCAACGGATTGATGTTAGCAAGTTGGTTGCAACTTCTGTTGCAAGTAAGTATCGAACCGAGCTAGCTTCTAGGCTAGCTACCATTATTAATATTACACTACCTTACACCAATCTCTTCGTTATTGTTCTCTTTTTTACCCTCCTTACCTTTTTTTCTTTTTCCTTCCCCTTAAATCCTCATTGTTTTGTGTGGCGCATATATATTTGGCGCATTCTTGTACCAATATTTATGTGTTCAAATAAATAAATAAATAATAACCCTTAAGTAAGTGATTTGGTGGATGAACAACACATTCGTTGGTGAATAATACGGTCGTCCATAAAAAAGAAGAGCTTCGTTCCTATGATCTGATATCTGGATGTCAAGTAATAGGTTATTCTTTAAAAACCTGTTGAACCTAAGTCTCTAGATCAAAGCAGTTTTACGAGACGTTATGTTACAGTTGTATCTTAAATGCAGGTAAAGCAGCATTTATGCTGTTGTAGATTCCATAGGGAGAAATAAGATGGAAGCTAAAGTGCACAATCTTTCTATAACTGATCCTTAAAATGCGTTCAAGACAGAACTGAATTCCAAGTAGTGATCAAGTTGCCTCTCAACAGCAGTCAAAACACTTAATAGATTTTATTCGTAGTAAATAGGCTTTCGCGAAATTCTACATTTTCAAAACAGTACAGTTGATCCACTCACCTAATATTGTCATGTTTGATAAAAATGAGCCATCCGATAAATCTAAGTACTACGATTTTAAAAGTAAAGCCACAACGTTGTGAATAAGTATGTACATATCCCCTGATAGCCCAACGAAAATGTACATATGGAATAGAAGATATAAAAACCAACCAACGAGTTACCATAAAGTAACCTAAAGTTAACGTGTCGTCAAAAAAGAGGTTCACTTCAACAAGAATTTATCTAGAGATTTCAAGGTTTAAAAAAGTGTTTACATTATTTGAATGACCTACGTCTTTACAACGTTGCTTTCAACGATAATACAACAAACGAGTATGCTACATAGAAGTATATGGGGCTGGAACTTCATAAAACCTTGCGAGAATGAATGAACTAAGAAATAGAGTTGCCTGAAAAAATATATGGATTCATCAGAAGATAGTGGCATCTGGAAGTCATTTTAAAAATTCTTTCTTAATGTCTAATATTAACATGACATTATCACATTCCATCAATCCATATTTCAATGAATTTATGAAACTTCACCCAGTTACATTCTCAACTATCTTATTTGGAACTTGGTGAATGTGTCACACTTCATTTAGAAACGTTAGTAAACAATGTTTAAGAAGAGAAATGAGGATAAATACTTTGAAAATTAATAAACTGATGAAAGGACATTTCCTCTAGGCATAGCGAAAATAATATATCGTAACAGTTTCAAGTAAATCTGGTTTAGAACGCGAATATATATATATATATATATATATATATATATATATCGTGAGCCACAGTGAAAAACGGTATTCTATGTGTATTCGCTTAAGAATATACTCGCAGTAAAAGAATGGGGTGGGTACAAATTTTTCCGATTACTCTACGCAACCACAATATGATTCACATGATGATTTTACTACACACCAGTAATAATTTAGAAAGACCTATAATTAAATAATTACGACTTATGCACGTTACCTATTTTCATAGATCGTATTTCACAACCATAGAGTAATAAAGTGATGAGCTGTGGACTATACTCGTCCTTCAATAGACAAGAGATGTCTTGCGTACGCCATAATTACTTCAAGTTGCGAACCAATAAGTGAGTTTTGTCTATCCATGTAAAGATATTTCCATCCACAAACATACCAAGGCTGATGAGACTATCAGTTTAAGTGGAATGGTTTATCGATTAGCTCACAAATTACAATAAAAATAGATGGAGACCAGTCCTGAAGTAATATTTTAAATTTTAAATAGAAACGAATGTTTCTCATTTATGGTTGCATTGTAATGAATAATCCCAAAGAACAAACCTCTGACAAAGTATGTCATTTGTGTACTTCAAGTCAATGATAATATCTCCGGAGTACACATAAATTTGTGGCCAGACGAGAAAAATGATATCCACAGGAAAATATTCATGAGAAAACAGGATAAAAACGGAAAAAGTTGAGAACTTTTGTGGACGCCGCTTGACAAAATCAATTTAGATAACAGCTTGAAGCAAACTATGGTTATTCAGTGTTTGAGTAGTATTCAGTGAACTGATGCACTGTATGATTATCAGATCAGTGGCATAAATCACCGCAAAATCTCTTGATTGATGGGCTTATGAACTACTTTTGGGCGTGAAAACACAGGTACAATGCTCTAAACCGTGTTGAATTATAAACTCTTCGTGCATAAATTTATGGCCAGGTCTGAAGCATATTTAGCTTTACTAGGTTCGATACTACATCATCATTGGTTAAGCATCTGAATATTAAGGAAGCTGGGACCATTGGAAATAGAATATTTAGACCAAGTCATGTCTTGTCATCACAAGAGAATACTTCCCTTAAAAAGTCAGATCATCAGCTGTAGCTACCAAATAAAGACTCAAAAACTAGTATATACACCTTAAATATTCGTAGGCATTCACCATCAGACTATAAATATTCCTTTGAACTGCATTATTATAAAATGTAGCTTAGCAGCGAAGATAATCATTGGACAATAGGCTTCGAAGAACACTAGTGTCATTACATCTAGTGCTAAGCTTGATCATACCACTGAAATACGCAGTTGTAATTAATACCTTAATGTCAATATGGATTGCCTTTAAAGGACTGTCAAAGTAGTGAAGGCTCCCTAAACTGAAACAACTCAGGACAAACGTTTGTATATCTGTGAGAGCGAGGACTTGAAACATTATGAAATTCGTCCTAAGTATTATCTACCGACTTTTCCTATTAGTCAAAGCCAAATAAATCAAATACTTTGCAAACAGTAACTTACCCATTGATAGAATAGCTAAAGAAAAACTGATTTTTGGTCATGGGTGACGTCCCTGCAATGCACAGATTGGAAACCAAGGACTTGTGTCCAGTTAGCATCCACCTTGGAGCACATAAGCAGGAATTTCCTAGGCTCCATAGAATAATATGCCCATCTGCTGATCCAGTGGCGACACTTTCCCCATCTTCAGACAATAAAATCGAAGATATTTGATGGTCAGGCGGAGTATGCGCCCACGTGACAAAGGGTATCACAGTGTTCCCACTTATTTTGATCATTCTTGCTCATAGAAATAACGAAAAGAAAAGGAATCACAAGTAGAACGACAATCGTAGCGTTATCATTTCACTACTGCGCTGCGATGAGTGGCCTTATATTAATCATTACAAACGAAATTGATGAATCCTATTCATCAAACACAAAAGAAGTGTTAAAGTTTACGTAGTTATTTTTGTCTGTTCATTTTCGACCAATACTTGTACTAAGGTTGATTAGATTTTAATTGTTTACCATCTGTGGAGACAGTTAGCCTCAACTTGTTATGTAATTAGTTTTAGCCATTATTCTCATTTTTTGCGATTTCACATAATTCGTACAATTACTATTACTGACTATGGAACTTCTGTTTTAAAAATTTTTGACACTGATTCTCCGTTTCCATTCTGTATTATCATGGCATGACTCTTCGATTATCGCTTACAAATACACTGCTGCACATACATACTTCTCGTCCTAACTTATCAGCCGTCACAATAATAGAACTCGAGTATATTTGCTGTTTAAGTTTACAGATCTCATTGATATTCTCATCATGTGACTACTCTTAAGACACACTTTGAATTATATCAATCATATTTCGAATAACTGACTATTTACAATTGTGGATTACGAAACCGGAAAATAATTTCGGCACGCCTCTTTCTGACAGTTTAAGTAACTTTTCCATAATTTTATTTATGTCTAACTTGTATCTCGGCATATCTTCGACCCTCTGCCTTTTTTTAGTAACCATCATTATTTTGGAACTGATATATTTGGTCCACCATACACCTTATTTATATAAACTAAAATGATCCAGATGGTTATGGATGGAATAAAATAAGCATTTTTTCGACGAGTTTCCGTGTCTAGATTTAATGGATCATGGTGCCTCCAGATAATAACCTATGTATATAAAACAAATAGAGACAAAAGAAGTAAATTAATACACCATCTTACTCTCAATTCCTGGGAAAATTTCAAGTTTCTCTCTGGAAGACGCAAATTTAAAGTTCAAATATATGTATGAGGGACAGAAGATCGGCAACTTGTGTTATTTCCTTTCCAGCAAGCTTCTTTAAGTGTCCATTCTTCTCCGAAATGGATAATCCGAAAGCTCAAATACCACTTCCGGTAGTATGTTCCAGGAGTTGATAACTCGATGTAAGAGACATGTATTCCATGGTAGTTTATTCACTCTTGGCTTTTTGACCCTCTTATATTCACTGAGTTTTAATGATCTGATAGACACGAAAGCGAAAGATATATCAGGTTCAAAGTCACTTTTAAATATTTCATGCATCATAATCAGATAACATCTTGATCTTTGGTAGAATAGAGTAATGAAGTCTGACATCTGAAACCTCCCCATCTTTGGTAAACCTAGAAACTCTGGAATTGCATGGATAGCTGCCTTCAGTACATCATCCAAGATAAACCTTCTAAACGTTGGCTCACAGATTTAACGCAATTTTAAAGTGTTTATCTCACTAATGTTGTGTATACTAATATACATTTATCTAAACTGGCAAACATTTATCCTGTAGCTCAAAGTATCTGCAGCCACCCGGTAGTGGGCCTCGATCTTAAGACATTGAATCACTTTTATCCCTAAGTCTCTGTAAGACAGGATAATATGGATTCGACGCTTCCCCAGCGCTGTAGCGATTTCCCAACTTGTCCAGTTTATTAAATGGTAAAACTAAATTTTCACCAAACTTAACCTAAGTCTTTCCAGTACTTGTGAGCTTAACTTCAACGATTCTATGGTTAGGATCCACTGTTGCAATGGTCCTGCCATATGCTGGTTTCCATACGGAAGTTGTGAAATCTGCTCTTACCTACTACGAAGTCTTTGACTTATTCTGGCTGAAGTTATTCCGAGGCTTACCAGCCCCGAAATAAGTCTGCTGTGCGGCACCATATCAAATGTTTCACTAAAGTCGACATAGGCAACACCATCTGACTTTCAATTATCCAGCAACCCTATCCATCCCTCTCTTGTTGTGGGAAGGTTAGTTTTACAATATAACCCTCTACTAAAACCATGTTGCTCAGTGTCTAGCAAATTATTGATGTTCACGAAGGTCGTAATAACCATAATGACTATTCTTTCCAGTATTGTAACCATGATACTGGTGAGGCTGATAGGTCTGTAGTTTGATAGAAGTCTTATTCCCGTCTTGTGGATCAAAGTGAGAGTTGCATCCTTCTAGTCCTCATGTGAGTCGCTCTAACTAAGCGGAATCTTGAATACGATAGTCAGCAGTGGACAGTGCATTGTGTGTTCTGTTAATTTTTATGTATGTAGTAATACATGCATTTAGTACGTCGTCTCGATAGAAGTTTATAATGTGTAGTTGACGAGAAGACACTGGTCCTGAGCCTAGTCCTTTGTCGATAGGTGGCTCATGATTGAAAACGATCCCGAAATAATTGGCTGTCTTGGTCGTACCCCATCGTTAAAGATGCACTCCCCTCCACAATTACTTTGCTTGAACCTTCTCAACAAATTGTTATTTTTAAGATCTGACCGCCCGAAGGGATAGAATGTGCTACCACAGTTCAGCTTGCCATATTTGACCGAAACTCCCCCGGTATCCCTCAAACGTTAGCGTTAGAACATAGTTTTGGCAGGTCTCCTAGATGGTTCTGAGGATAGAGTGGGATACAGTCACTCGTAACAAACTGACTCCAGTCAACTATTTTCTAAGATACAAGGGCCCAGGGGCTAAAGGAGCTTCTCGTAAGCCTCCAACTTGAGCAAGCGAACTGATTCTGTAGATCGAATTTGAACAATTGGAAAGTCTTGCTGGAAAGCTGAAAAAAGTCTTTCAAAATAATTAGTGCAAGGTTCCCTTCAGAGGCATATTTATAACAAGTAGTTTCTGTGAAGCTATTGTATAATTCTATCTGTTCAACCTCACGGAAGCACACTCGAGCTACTTATTTAGCCCTATCACAGTACTCAAGCAGCTTTTCTCTTTTTCCCATATGGCTGTAAGCTTCCCCTCAACAACCCCATTTTCCAGACTCTTGTGGTCATATGTTATAATAATAATAACAATGATTTATTCTCAAATAACATTCTGTTACTTGAGACATGCCTGTTCACAGGCAAGATCAAATCGTTACAGAAGATACAGTCTTTACTGTGGTGGGTTATTCAGTTTGACATGTTACAAGGCACTGTAGTGTTTGAATGAACTAATGGTTCCTTTGCTTTTGGTTATCTGGTACCTCTTGATCCGCTTACGTTACTTCTGGGATTCTTAGTTCATACTATAATTCAAATGCTCTTGATTATCATAGGTACATTGATCATAGAGGTATGGGGAATAATACTTCTCACATATGAATGCAAATAATATTAGTAAGGCCCGTATCGTCACTGCATTAAAGATAGAATTATTTAATCTCTCTCTATAATCTGGTGGTACTATTAGTTTAGGAAATCCTGTACGGTCCATATTCATAATTTTTCTGGGAAGAGCCATATCTAGCCATTGCATTTCTAATTTACATGTGAAGTAGGGATATCTGATGTTTTTTTGAGAGTTAGACAGAATTCAAACTATATCCGTTTGGTATTAAAGGCATATGCTCTGCGTTATTTTGTGGAATTACGGTTTACTTCTTTATATGCACATTTATCTGTACCACTATAATGATAGACCGGATCCCAAAATCCTAGATTTTTCTTAATATGAATACCTAATCTCTAAGATCTTACATGGGAATCATATCATCATCCATGTTTACTAGCCATATGGTTACAGTCAGCAATACGACGTCTAGTAATTTTGAAAAACACATTTCGGCAGGGGATAAAATAATATATTTAATGTTGGAAGGTACGAGTTATCCGATATGGTCACGCCCACAAGGCTGAGCCATGCCATACTGATCAACTCTTCCCGCCTTCACCATTGTTAACCTTCTGTGATGATCAAGAGTACTTGAATTATAGTATGAACTAAGAATCCCAGAAATAACGCAATTGGATCATGAAGTACTCGATAGGCACGAACGAAGATACTGTATTTAGAATTCGAAATCAAGCATTCAAAAAGTGCAAAGGAATCATTGGTTCATCCAAACACCACACCTTCTTAGCATTCTCTAACATGAACTAGGAGTATTAGTGGACGAACTGAAGCCACTCATCACAGCTGAGACCAAAACTTGGTTGGACAATGACTTTGACATCACTTCAGAATTATCGGGATACAACTACCTAAGAAGTGACCATCCTCAAAGCCTTAGACATTCCAAAGGGACATAAGGTTGGGACATTTAGAAGCTCCCACCTTCAATGGACCTATCCTTGACCATCAGTTGCACATTTGCAACGCAACTTTCATGAAGCGCGCCAACTGTGGTACTGATTGAAACCATCTGTATTCATATCTTATAAATTATCAAACCAACTATGTAATTTACTGCAGTGGATATTGTATCATTTGTATCAATTTGATCTTGCCTGTAAATTGGCATGCCTCATGTAACAAACTGTTATTTGAGAATAAATTATTATTATTATAAAAATAGATGAAGAAAATGAGCTGGAGTCATTATATACATATCTGGTGGTATGAAAACCCGTTCCTTTGTTTTTGAATCCCATGTCAGTGTAACTTATGAAGTTATTATCTATAAACTCGCTATGAAAGTTGTAAGATTATGCTCAGCGCTATCTGTCGTAGCTCAGTTTGCATAGTTGACAATTTCGTTCCGGAACACTTTCGACTATGGAGTAAAAATAACATTTCTGATATTAGGAAATTTTAATGCACTTGATATTAGTTGTACAGTAAAGGCCGCTATATGATCAGAAAGCGTTTTTGATTGTAACCTCCTGATAACGATGATGCAGCATACTTTAGTACAGCATGTGTTTGGACACACAAGTTTTGATTCGAACTACGAATCTTCTTTGTTAGTATCAGTAACCACTTGAGAGACCGATGATATTATTATTATTATTAGAAGCTTTATTCAACATTATACTTTTGGTACAACATAGAATTCTCAGCATAAAGTATTTCAACAAGTTTCTTTTTCTTATATCTTGATCGATTGTGACGATAAATTTCGAATGATGACCA